GGTCATTCGCCAGCCCTAGTCCAACGTGTTATGAGGCCCACACGCTGTGACTCACAGCACTCCTCTTCAGCTCTGGACCTAGTGTTCTCTCATGGTGAGGATGTGGATCTCATGCGAAATCTTCCTCCTTTAGGAAGAGGTGATCACACTGTGTTCACTTTTAAGTTCTCAGCAGCGGTATCGTGGGCCAAAACCCCAGCTCAATCAAACTTTTGGAAAGTTGACATAAGTGTGATCGTCTAAGCAGTCAGCTCAGTGAACTGGTACACCAACCCAGAGTTCCAACTAGGAGCCGCAAGGAACTAGTTTAAACAACTTAACGGCCAAACAACTGAACCTTTCACCTCTTGGTCTGTCCCAAAGGGTCGCAATCAATGCTCCCTCGGATAAACTGAGAGATTCGTAAGTTACTCAGACGCAAACACAAATGCTGGAACCTGCTTGCCACAGTTGAGTTTCCTGTGACCAGAAAGTTATACAACACGCTAGGAACAAAGCCACTGCAGAAATCCGCTAGTCAAGGATAAAGTTCGAGGCACATCTGGCTCAAAATGCAAAGACACAGCGTAAGAAAATTTTCTCGCACATGAACTTTAAGAATACGACATCCAACGGTGTCGCAAACCCGACTGTTGACAATGACACAATCGAAGAAGATCAAGAAAAGGCAGAAGCAATGGCAGACTACTTCTCCCAAGTCTTTACACAGGAGTCGTCAATCTCCACAGGATCATTTCTGGCTGCGTCAGATGAATACCGGATAGATTCTGTTGAGGTAGACCATGACATCGTGCTCAACTGCCCAATGAAATAGTACCATATATTCTCTGTTATTTATGTTATCACTACTAGTTTTATACTTACGCCTAATGAAACTAGATGTGGAGAAATCAGTGGGTCCTGATAGTCTTCATCTAAGGCTTCTCAAGGAGCTATCAGCTCACACAACTGGCCCACTAACCATGATCTTCAAGCTATCTCTCCTAAATGGAGTGTTACCACGTGACTGGAAAGATGCCATAGTAATCCTCATCCATGAAGAAGGATCAAGACAAAGCCCTACAAACTACAGGCTTATTAGTCTCACCAGAACTTTAATCAAGACGTTGAAAAGAATCATCAAGAAAAGTACCATGGTATATCTGGAAAACAACAATTTCTAATCCAGAGCACGGTATAGCTTCCAAAAACACCTCTCATGCCTGTCAAATCTCCTCACCGTAAGAGAAAGCCGGGTCAAATCAAGGGACAACAGAAGATCCGTTGACGTCATCCCAATAGACTTCAGCAGTCTTCGGTAAAGTCACCCACAAAAGATTGCCCACGAAGGTGGGAAGTCTTGGCATCAAAGACAGCTTACTAAACTGGGTTAGGGAATTCCTCATAGACAGGAGTCACAGGGTTAAGATCAACTCGAAACTCTCCTCCTGGACAACAGTGGGTAGCGAGGTGTCACCAGGAATGGTACTCGAAAAACTCCTATTTATTTTGTATATCAATTAGTTATATCAGCTCACCGATTCCCCTATGGTCCTATACGCAGATGATTTGAAAATCTGGAGAGAGCTCAAGGGCAGCAGTGATATGCTCACGCTGCAAGAGGACCTCAGCAAATTGTTAGAGTGGTCCAGAGAATGGATGCTCCCAATCAATGTAGCGAAATGTGCAACCATGCGCATTGGGCAAGCAAGCACCAGCTCCTACGAACTAGAGGGAATAACACTCCCATCAATTAGGACTCACTTGGACTTAGGTGTCATAGTTAGCCACGATTTAAAAACTACAGCATACTGTCACGTGGTGGCTACAAGTAGTTTCAGATCCTTATGGGCAGTTTGTTGAGCCTTTACTGGAATCACCAGAGATATGTTCACCTCCTTATATACATCTCTGTTGAGGTCAAGACTGGAAAACTGTATCCACGCAGCCAGTCCTTGTCTTAAAGGAGACCCACATATTCTAGATAGGGTATAAAGGAAGGAAACACGTATGATTCTCAGCATGACTAACTTAGCATATGAGGAAAGACTAAACAGTTTAGATCTCTTCTCCCTATCATACCGTAGGAAGACAGGAGATTTTATCACAATGTTTAAAATTTTAAATAATGACTACTCACCGGAACTATTCTCTCTTTACCTTTACACCAGCTAGGAACACCTTAGAGGACATAGCAGGAGAGTTCAAAAGTCAAGAAGAAGAATATTGCTGTTGATTACTGGGTCTCACATTGAGTCATAAACTCCTGGAACCGAAGAAGTGGTGTCCGCTACCGTTTACAGTGGGATAATATACAGCCATATCTATGTTATAACAAAGCTAATTACACCGAAATGCGAAGACTTTTGTCTGAAGCAAATTGGCCAAAAAATTGGACAGAGCTTACAGTAGAAGAACACTGAGGAGTGATAAAGGAGATCATTCACCAGGCGGTCTCAGACACTGTTCCTTTAGTCACACCAAAAGCTAGAAAGCAACGTTCATGGGTAAAAAGGGGGACACAACGCCTTCTGCAGGCGAAGCGAAAAGCCTGATTTGCGTGGCGAGTATCGAAGAGTCAACCCGAACATGAAGAGTACCTCGAACTCAGGAATCGGTGTAACATACGAGTCCGGAGTGATAGAAGGACATTTCAGAGAAACCTCGCCAATAAGCTTCTCGTGAACCCCAAAAGCCTATACAGGTTTATGTCTGAAAGAAAACCGACCATCCAGGGAGCTTGCAATCTAGTGGGTTCTGATGGGAAATCTCTTACTAGTCTTGAAATGGCAGAGACATTCAGTCTAGCCTTTCACAGGCAACTGAACAGTAACGAGGATTTTACCCCCACAAAACATCAAGATTACAATGCAAGACCATCGTGCGTAAACCTGCTTGGTATATTTCAAATTACCCCGGCTATGGTACTCGTAAAATTGGGAAAGTTGGTTTCGGGAAAGTCTACAGGTTGCGGTGACATAAGACCATCCGACCTGAAGCAGTGTTCAGAAAGTCTCTGCCAACCCCTAAGTGATCTGTTTCAACACCCCTTTGATGTAAGGAAACTTCCATGCGAATGGAAACGAGCCATCCTATCCCCTATATTCAAGGGTGGTGGCCGGCAGAATGCGACCAGTTGCACTACTTCCAGTGATATCGAAGATATTGGAAAGTCTCATTGACGACCACATGAGAAAATACTTCGACGGGACTAACCTACTCCATGAAGAACAGCACGGTTTCAGGAGGGAAAGATCCTGTGTGACGAATCTTCTACTTGCTTGGAACGATTGGACACTATCCTGGGACGTAAAGGTACCAGTCCATGTGATCTTTCTCTACTTTGCGAAAGCATTCGACACAGTTCACCATGGTCTGCTCCTTCACAAAATAAGCAAGGCAGGTGTTTCTGTTGCACTTCTCGCATGGCTGGAAGATTATTTAGGCGAGAGAGAATTCTGCACCAAAGTCAACCGCATCCGATCATCCTGGCACACCTCGGCATCATGGGTTCCTCAGGGTTCTATCTTAGGGCCGTTGATGTTTTTGATTTTTATCAATGACCTGCCCTGTCAACTGAACTGCTCTGCGCTTCTTAACGCTGACGACGTAAAGATTTGGAGAGCAATAAACTCATCGGAAGACTCCGATAGATTGCAGGCTGACCTGCAAACTCTGGGAGACTGGGCTCTGGCTAACGGAACGCCTTTCAGCCTAAAGAAATGAAAAGTATTGTAACTTCATTCGGGCAGGTCACAGAGTGTGTAAATTACACCCTTGGTGGCCAGAACTTGAGTTGTGTGCCATCAGAACGCGACCTAGGTCTTATTTTAACAGAAAAGCTAGACACCAGTATAAATTACACGAGGAACGTCGCCAGAGCTTACGCACCTTTATGCATAGGTAGCTGGAAGCTCTTACTCCCGAACTATTCTTAAGGTTGTATACGACATACGTGAGGCCACTCCTTGAAGTGCATAATATCATTGCTCCTCCGCTACTCAAAAGGGATGCTAACATTCTAGAAAGTGTCCAGAGACGAGCGACAAAATGGGTGATCGGCCTCCGCAACAAATCATATGAGGAAAGACTGAAGAAATTAAGTCTTTTCACACTTAGTTACCGTAGTCACAGGGGAGACCTCATCACCGTCTATAAGATCTTAAATGACCAGGCCCATCCTAATAAGAGCATCCTGCCATTAAGTGATTATAGGCTTCCACGAGGTAACCCGCTAAGGATAGCACACCAGAGACCAAAGACTCGAGTGCGTTCACATTTCTTTTCGCTTCGAGTTTGCCGTCTCTGGAACGCTTTACCGGCGGCCGTAACTACAGCGCCATCTGTGGAGACTTTTAAGCGGAAGCTGGACAATCATGCAGAAATGCATGGTTTGTGTCTCAATGGCTTATCCTCTTAAAATTTGAAACCACACTGTCAGTGGATAAGCATACAAGCTAAATCCCCACGACCCGTCCTGTCTTCTCCCACTGTACCGACTATTCTATCTTTTCTTTCTTTCTTTCTTATTTCACCTTTATTATTTCACTTATCTCAACCTATATTATCTACACTACAACCTATTATTATTATTGTTACCATTCTACTTTTATGACTACACCGAATGACCAACGGGTGTTAGGTCAAACTCCATTCACGGTAGCAACTCAGTCCTAATATACTGCACACTACAAACCACATCTTGACCAATCCTCGCACCACTCCTCTTGTAGTCTACCAGAGCTAAAGCAGTCGAGTGGCGGGATTTACTACGCAGAAGTTCACCGAAGATCTGGAACCTCTACCTTACAATCAAGAAGCGAGCTCAAAGAAATCACTGGTTTATACTAGCTCGTAATCAGGATATTGGATATTGGATTGCATCCTCAACTGATTCACTCTAGAAGGTTTTTAACAAGCACAGAAATTAACTAGAAAATGATTAGCATAGGCTCCAAGCCTTCTATCCTCAACCAATAATTCTGAAATCGGAATCTGAAATCTGCATCTGAATTGTACATTTCTTCGGCCTTGAAACTACCCGCAAGGTTGAAATATTTCGCGATGGATGTAAGTTTTATTGTCATACTACTTTTTTCTTACTGAGGCTAGTTTTCATAAAGTATCATGTACTGACAAAATTGACAGCTATCGTCACGAATATTGGGGGTTTTTTATCGTTGTTTTGACTTATGTTCATAAAGAAGAATGAAGCCTTCGGGCGCGGTGAACGAAAAATAAAATAGTAAAATACGTGTTAATAATGGACATAGCCTGTGCTAGAAATATGGGAGAGTTCTGGTTATATGACGAGATTTTTATTATTTGAGGTGAAGTTGAGCTTTAAACTTCAGTAAGTACCAGCGGATAAGTTACCTAGGATATCCTAGGATATCAATTAAAATCTCTCCATTGTGACCATTAGTTTACCATCATTGAACCGTTCTTACTGTTTGCCCATAATTTGCCTCTTTCACCACTATTTAACCATTTTTTGATTATCTTTGTTCAACTTGGAGATATATGTGACCTATATAGGTCACATATATGTGATATAAGTTGAGACTAATAATTTAGTCAATGATTCTAAGTTAGCAACTGTCATGAAAATTTAAATCTTTGCATTCCTGATGAGTTAGATTGCAATTTATTGGAAACTTCCCTCCCCCACTTCTACAAATTGAAAATTTCGAGGAAGTCTGGTAATTTTTGGGGGAAATACGTTACAGTTACCTCAATTTTTTCATCATTTCGATTTCAGACCATCATACAAACCCTAAGAATTTTCATGAGATATTTCATATTTAAAAACACTCCCTGGTTTTTTGTTGTGATGTTATGTACCATGAACATGTTATTTTGAATAAAATATGTAGTAAACATGCTTAACTTTTCTGGCGTTGTCACTGCAGAATTGCTGAGCGTATATGTATGCCCCAATATTAGTGACTTATATCCTAGATGTTATTATGCGATAGATAATATTTGGAGAACTAGTAACCTATCAACTGACCGTAAAAAATCAGTTGAAATAGCTTCATCATATAAGATATTACTGATTTAATGATGGAGCTAGAAAGTAGCAGCCACCGCGATTGACCACTAAAACTGAGCAGTCAATCAGAATTAAGGAGCAGTATTAATCTCAGCGTCGTTAGAAAGATAATTGGAGATGATGGTATTCTAGGGTTCATCTAAATTTTCTATTTTTGTTACTTGATCTATGCCAAAATATTAGTCCTCTTAGAATACCCACTATCCTATGAAGTTTGCCTTGCATTTGTGTATTCTAATAATCACAATTAATGCATTATTCATGCAGTGCCCAAATACGCGTTTTCCTGGATCTCGTTAAGCTAATCAAGAAGAAAAGACAATTTGATTTGATCATATCACCTGTACCTCCATTAGGTTGTCTAAGGTGATGTACCCGGGTGGCTGATGTAGTTAAACCTAGCCCCGTTAAAATACTGTAAAATGTTTTAAAAAAAATAAATGGGCAGTAAATCCACTACTAATTTTCGAATTCTAACGATAGTTCTAGCTTTAAACAACAAATTAAGTCATCCTAACCTTAACCCTAGTTCTAATTTCATCTCTAATTGTAATCGGTCACTTCACGTATTTGTGAAGTTGCCCCATCTCTGATGGACTCATTGCTGATGAAATCTCTGTGTAAACACAGGAGGCTCCGATATTTTTCAACTTGCGTTACCTATGATGATTACCTGGTATCTGAAGGTCCACAAGAGAGTGAGTTGTGCAACAATATACTCTGTAAGATATAGCGGTTGAAGGTAGAATATATGAAAAGATTAGCGGTTTTGTATCGTGTTTGTTTTTTGTTGCTTTTGTTAGATCAAGGGACTCTGAGTACTGGTAAAGGTAGTTGTGAGTTGTTAAGTAATCAGGTGAGGTCAGTCGAACCCGACCATCATATTAGTCAGCATATCTCAGTTGGAAATCCATGAAATTGTGAAGCTGTATTGATTAAATTTGTTAAAGCATGTGTAACATGCCAGACAATGAGTCTCAAGTCCCGCTCCGTCTTCAATCTAGGTAACTGGGTGGGATCATAAACCCTCAGGCAATAAGCATGGCTCATAGTCTCAAACATGAAAAACCTGTTGTGGAAGTTGCGTGGAAACAAACAGAAAGTTAGAGGTGGTCAAATGAAAAAATGAAAATAATCCATGAAAACTTAAACTGTTTATTTGAGTCACACGGTGAAGTGTAGAGTGCCTAGTGGGGGTCTTCGGGATAGCAAAAATCAGTGGTTGCAGACTGTAGGTAACATGGTTCAAGATATTTCGCATTAGTACGCAAGCGTTCACTCTTTGTGGCTTTCCGAATTCTATAAATCCTCAACAATGTCCAAAATACTTACTCTTTCTTCAGCCCACTTTCGTTTAACGCAGTTTCACTGCATTTTTTAAAATCTACTATTGTGTTTGCTTTTAAGAATTATGGCATCTCGAACTGATATGCTTTTGTGCAAATTTATTCGCATATAGCTCAGTTCATTTAACGAAGTTACAGGCACAAAAGTTTTCCGTCGTTAAAACTGACGTGGATAAAATGTGAGTACTGTTGATCTGCTTTACCTCGCTAAGCCAGTAATAAAACTGGTAACGAGGGAAGGTTGGGCATGAGGCTGGCTAGTAATCCCATCCAGTAAAAATAAACACCACTGCTACAGAAACTTTAAGCCTTTAGCTTGAAGCCCTATGTTCCACTGGAAACGTGAAGGAATAAAAAGAAAACTGTTGATCTTGATTCATCACTCAACTAATTGTTTCGTCTTTAGACTAATTTATCTAGCTTCTTTATTTTTAGACTTCTGTCAACTCTGACTATGGTGGAATACCAAGTGAGAATACGATTGAAATACCACTCAGAGGAGGAGATGAAGTTATCGAGCTGGATACAGATCAGTTGCCTGATGGTGAAGAAGTGTTAAACATACTGAATCAAGAAAAAGCGCCTCTACAAATTTGGATTAATGTTGCTGTTGCCTATTACCGGAAGAAATTATACAGTGACTTTGAAAAAGTTCTTGAAGAAGCCTATCGAAATGCATCTGAACTTCAGCCATATAATGATAGTGACTTAGTTCGGTTATTGGATATGCTGGCGAATTATTATGGTCGAAAAGCTTACAAGTAAGACTAGTTATTTTCCTAGTGGTTAAGGTATTAATTGACCAGAAATTTTTTGCACCTATCAAGTTTTATATTCTAGCACTGAATTCAGGTTGAATAAAATCTGATATTTGTAAATCAATAGAACTTTTTATTGTAGACTTTCTTGCGGTTAAATCTACTGAACTGTAGTGTGGAAGGATTTTGATATATTGGTATTTTTAAGTCTTTTAGTTCTCATCGTTAACGTTTGTCATCCTTTGTGTGACCCCTTATGAATACTTGTATAGTTTGTAGGAAAGCGTTAATATTTATTTCATTTACTAAAATAAAACATGTTTCAATTTGATTAGACTGCCTGGTTGAGATCATCGGATTACTGAGGTCTAATCTCTGAAGACTTTTGGTAGTGTATACGCCAAAACCGTTCTCAGTGGTAAAGATGTATTCATTCTATGCTACTTCCCAGATTTATTGAATCCCAATTATTCTTCATGTCACTGTTGTTGTTTTTTTCTGTCGTATACCTCTGCTCATTTTCAATTTCTTTTTCGTCTCTTTCATATACCTTTGTATGGTGTATGGACCGTAGCAACTTGAACTGCCAAACATCTGTGCATAGTTCTATGTTGAAACTCAGTCAGTGTGATAGATTTTTTGCTCAACATTTTGTTGATTTGCATTGGGTAAATATAGATACATTAACTGAGTGTAGTACATGGAGTTTACGTGATACGATTTCACATAAGCTCTAAATCAGTCTAAAATGGTTATCTACGCTTTTGTTTATTAGGATGTCACACAGTTTGGGAATATATTAGTACATTATTTTACTCAAAATATTATAATTTAGAATTATTTCTAGACCTAGTGATACAACTTGCATAGAATAGTAAATATCATCTGGACTGTCAACTATGTACAGTAATAACATATTTTACATAACCGTTTTTCAATCCAAGTTTCTGTATTTTAAGCGAACATAAGATATGAAGACATCTAGGTGTGTATTTGACTTTATATGAATTTGACATCCTTGTTCATGGCTGATTCCTTAGTGTACACAAACATCTTAGTACTACTGAGTAGACCTGTATGCATTTCATACTTCACAAATATACAATGCTATCTCACCATAACGAATGAATTGGTTGAATGCGTCAACTATCTCCAACTAAACTGGAGAAGTGTTTCAGTTGTGGTTAATTGGCGGTTTACATGATTTTGACAACAACAACAGCAACAACAAAGTGAAAGGATTGTTTGACTTTTCCATGACCTTGCTGCTTATCATACAGAAAAAATATTTGATTGCTTATTAAGAGTCAAGTGTGCTGCATTCTATTTCAATCTATATCTGCGAAAAGTAATCACTAAAAATAAAAGATCATTAAAGGTTTAAATTATACGATCATTGTTAGTTATGTGTAGATACTATCTTTAGATATAGAATATTTTATTTTGCTTAAGTTGTTCAAGTATTAATATTGTCCTACATCTGACTGACTTATCCATATAGATAGATGTACAAAAGAGAATCTGTTCGTTGTTATTTATTATTAGTGTCATGTAATCGATCAATTTAGTTGCATTTACCTTATGTTGGTAAGAGATGGATTGGATGAATTTTTTAACTTGTTGAACATTAGTTATCCTTTTTTAACAAGTTTCAACTGCTATCAGCTTAGATTCTCATTGTGTATTAGGCTATCAAGCAATTTTTTGAGGTATAGTTGCGAATCTTTTAAAATGTGTTTATTTATTTTAGATTTCCAGTGTAGCGGCAACGGAAGATAAGAGAATTGAAAAGGGACCTTTATTAAGGGAAAATATCATATTTATACATTTTTAGCCACATTGAAATTCGACTAGGTCAGTGGACAATAAATTGTTCTAATTGGTTGGTGATTAGCCCATGGTTAAATCAGGTCGTCCTATAAGGTTATTTCATGTCCACATTGTAAACTAAATTCAGATTTGAGGAATAACCACTTTTACTTCTGAGGCTATTAATTTAAAATGTTGATTTCAACTGTGGCTGCTTTTTATCAGTTTGCCTCACGCCACACCAGATCCTCAACAGTTCGCTCTGTCCTCCTTTATGGCTGTGAGACAGCCATTGAAATGCCAGCTGTCTTTGATCACAGGTGCCTGCGTTCTATCTCCCGTGTTAAGTGGTATCATTAGAAGAGCAATATTGAGGTTAGGCCTCAGTTGAGTTCTAGGTAGATGGAAGGGGGAAATTAATCGACGAGTTTATGAAGTCGCATCGTCTGAGATGGTTAGGACATGTGTTACGCATATACCTCTAGCCATCGCCTTCCTCGACGGGCGGCAATGTTAGCTGACATAGGATGGATCAGGTTGGAAAAGAGTTAGCTTGTGGTGTTCAAACCAAAATATGGCTTCCTCGGTCAATGAAACCCACGATATTTAGTTTAAGCCAGCCAGTCAAGTAGGGGGGTGTAGACTAGCTTCCTGATTGCGGTCCTCGAGATGGTGAAAACCAATGACATCTGGGGAAAGTTGGTGATATGGCTCAAAATCCTCGCTCTCAATGGCTGGCGCAGATGTATCCACTCCTTGTGATTCATAATGTCCAATAAAATCCTATTGTTCTCCCATATTACCATTCTTTTTGTCTCACATTTCTGTTTATTATCTCTGTCTCTTCACTGTCTTCTCTTGCTTCGTGTGCTACATGGAGGGAGTGTGGGAACTCAAACTGCTGCACATCTGTGCAAAGTTCTACGTTGAAACCAGTCAGTCACACCAGATGCTACATCAAGTATTGCATTTTTAGGATTTCAGCAATTGTCAGTCTAATTTATTTTGAAGTTTTTTAATCCTTTATGGTCCGTAACGACTGTATTCTAAGCAGTTTAAAGTGATTATATCCAATTGTTTTTTCCCTGCCTTATTAGTATCTCCATAGATGTATTTGATAATTTTGAGTTCAGTGGTAGCATACTTGCCAACCTCACACCTGGCCCGGGGTTCGATTCCCGGTTGACGAACTCCTAAATCTCCTTTGGCCTGTAGTAGGCCCGGTAAAAAGGGTCAGTTGGGCATGTGACCAGCATCCTCACTCCGTAAAAACACCACCGTTACTAAAACTTCAAAGCTCTAAGTTGCCGCTCTATGTTCCACTCGGAATGTGAAATGAACAAAAAAAACATTTCTAGAAAACCTTTTTATGAAATCTAAGAAAATTTGTAGACTTGTATGTTCACACTGTAACTTGATAATTGGCAACTGTAAGGTAAACACTTTTCAATCCTTTAAAGTACGTCTTAGTTTCCAGTGAACCATTTGTCCAATGTCGATTTATCGTGGAATCTGACCTATGTCATATAAAAAAAGCGGTTTAAAAATGATGGGGAAGATTTGCAGCTTAAGTGAGTGATGTTTATTTCGCTTTGGCGTGGTTTCGTTCTCTGACCTGGGTGGTTGAATTACGAAGCTTTCATTGGCTTTCTAGGTATTGGTCTACTGTTTTTCTCCTAAGCGGTGTATAGTTTCCATTGAACTTAAAACTTGTAGTACTACAGTGACTACCACTACTATATCAAGTAATACATATTCTCTAGAGTTATAGGCAAGCGGTCGTCAGCTTAACTAGTTCTCTATTGACCCCCCTCCCTCCCAAATGAATTAAACGTTTGGCACTCATTCAGTAATTGTGTCTTTTAAAAAAATGGATAACGTGAAATACCTTTGTAATGTACCCGTTTGTTTGTTTGTTTCTTCCGTAGAGAGAAGAGTAAAGAAAAAAAGAATCAGTTAATCGCTCAAGCAACTAGACTATTCACTTCAGCAGACAGAATTGATATGTACGATCAAAAGCATTTACTTGGACGAGCATTTTTCTTCATATACGAAGGCGAGAATTGGAGTCAAGCAGATAGTCAATTGAATTTTGTACTGAATCAAGGTTCACCAAGTGTACCAGCTTATTTAGGCAAAGCGTGTATTGCTTTTAATAAGAAAGAATATAGAAATGCTTTGGGATTTTATCGTAAAGCTTTACGTCTACAACCAAATTGTCCAGCTTCTGTACGACTTGGAATGGGTCATTGTTTCTTTAAGCTAGGGAATATGGAGAAGGCACGGCTAGCATTTCAACGAGCATTAGACTTGGATCCAGAATGTGTTGGTGCTTTAGTTGGACTTGCTGTATTAGATCTTAATGAAAAAACTCAAGTAATTTGAATTTTATTTATATATTTATTTATTTTTATTGCCCCTTTGTTTTTATGCAATTTTAATCAGTGTGTTACACATAACCAGCAAGCATTTGCTACTTTCGATGTCTGGAAACTTGATGAATTTTTCAAAGAATGATTTAATGCATTGTTATGACCGGAACTACAACCTAGTAGACTATGAGCGAATACTAACTTCAGTGCGCTGGCTAATGTCGGTGGCACGGCGGTTAGGACGCTCGCCGACCATGCACATGGTCCGGGTTTGGATCCCTGGCCGATGCACACCTGATATCAATGGTCGGCCTGCAAAATTTAGGCTACAGATATCACACGCTGAAAATTCTACACTTGTACCAAAATACTGTGTGGAATCAAGCTATAATAATATAAAAAAATAAAATAAATAAATGTGTCCTAATCGCGCATCAACAACAACACCGCCGGGCTGCAGAGACAGAAGACTAGACGTTGATGAAAGAGCTTTTATTGTCTCAAAACAATAGTCAAAAAAGGTTAACAGTGCTTGTGTATATGTATGTTTATGGTGACCTTGAGAAGCACTAATGTCATCGATAAGTTAAGATAGTGAACAACCAATAGGATTTCAAAGGTCATAGGTAGGATGAAAGGAATACAAACAGACATGTAGAAAATAGATACACAGCCTCTATTGATGGGTTTACGTACGGACGCCCAGACTGCCTTTCGGTGGAATTCATGCAAATTCCACCGAAAGTGTATGGAGTCACTTTAAAAAGAGGATCAGAGCAGTGAATGGGTCAAGAAATGTAATGATATACAGTCATCTGGATGAGTTTATACAAAGAAATTGGTTTGGCCTATCTATGAGGACTGCAATGAGAAGTTGAGAGGTTTTCTTGCAGCACATATAGGAACATTGCCCTATGCGACTTTTTTAACATTCCATTAATTTTGCATAACTATTTTTTTAAAATTACGAGCTTTTACTTCGGATTTATCTGAGACTCATGAACAGATATTTCTCAAGATCTTTACTAGGTAGTTTCGTTTTGGATCGCTATAGTTCAGAGTTTCCCAAATGCATTAAAACATTATGTTTTTCCGTGTTATTGTTCTTCCTGGCATACGTTTCTGCTAAATACAGCTCTTTTGAATTTCTTTTTCTCTCTTTCTGCTATAACTTTGTGTGTGAACTGAAATGTGTCAATTGAAACTGGCGGTACTTATCTGCAATGTTTTACGTTAAGACTCAGTCAGTCAGTGTCACAAAATGAAAAAGTGTATTCACTGATAGTCATAAATTCAATATATGCGCTATAAACTTCATTATGACCTACTCGTGCTCTGATTGGCTGCTTCAAGGTCATTCATTCAATTGTTAAATTTTGCACCACTAGGATCACTGTAACTCTGTCTAAAATGACATCAACAGTTGTAACTTGTAATAAACATGAATATATACATTATGATTATTAACTATTTTTTGTTTTTCTGTATTATTTCAGGAGTCAATAAAACAAGGTGTACAAAAATTATCCCAAGCGTATAATCTTGATCCAACTAATCCCATGGTATTGAATCATTTAGCAGATCATTTTTTTTATAAAAAAGAATATACAAAAGTGCATAGATTAGCATTGCATGCATTTTATAATACAGAAAATGAATCGATGCGTAGTGAAAGTTGTTATCAAATGGCAAGAGCATTTCATATGCAAAAAAATTATGATAATGCATTTCAATATTACTATTTAGCTACACAACTTGCATCACCAACATTTATTTTACCATTTTATGGTCTTGGACAAATGTATTTACATAGAAATGATTTAGAACATGTAAGTGAATCTTTCTTGGTTCTTTTTTTTAAAAACTATTTTTTGTGCTATTTATGTGTGTGTATGTGTGTGTGTAAGTGTTCCTTTTGGCTTTTCTTTGGGAGTAATTGATAACTGTTGACTATGTACTCGTTCTTTCGTTTGCTGGTTAAGTCTGTCATCTTCTACAAGTGTAGCTTTGCAGGGGTTTTATAATGAATCAACATCAATCATAGAGCCAACTGCTACCTTGCCGTGGTGGTCGGGCTTGAATGCCACAGTGACCCAACAAGCTAAACTGGCTGGGACTCATGTCCCTGCAGGTCCTACCATGTCAGGAAGGTTGTTTGGATAGTGGTTAGACTAAAAGCAGTTACCATGGGGTACATGGGCTCCAGAATTCAATCGGATCAAATGGCGTATGAACCCGTATGGGTCACCGGCAACCATGGGAACGCAGCTCCTGACGCTGCTCCGCTGCCTTGCGGATTAGACTCCAAGTCAAAGGCTCGGGGAGTGGTCCCTTAAGAAAACCACCTGCTTCGGTCTGGGCGCCCGGGTAGTATCTCAGCCTTCACACAATAAATGAAATGAAGCAACAAACTATTATCGAAACTCTTGGACATGTGCTGCGAATGTCATCCCAGAGGCTTCCGTACAGGTCTCTGTTCGCTAGCCCTGGGACGGGATGGAAAAGGCGGAGGGGTGGTCAGTCCATGACGTGGCGTCGTGGGATGAAGGATTTCTGTGCTAGATTAACATCGGTTGGTGTGTCATGACTCCCTGTTTGGGGTCCGCGAGATAGCTCGAATCGATGGCTCGAAACGTTATCGGATATGGCCAAGAATCGTAATCAATGGCGAACGTGTTGCAATTTCCTTCTTTCTTTCCTTCCTGATGATAGTTAACGAATACTGTTTGAACTTGTTAAACATGACTGTTATCCTTCCAGAGGAAGTTCTTTATTCGTTTTCTACTTATATTTTTACTTTTGATCTATGTTGTTTTATTATTATTGTGTGGCGCATCATCTTGGTGCCATATTGTGCCAAGTGTTTTCTGCGTTTAAATAAACAAATTAAATAAAAATAGAGCCATTGAAAACCAGAGAGTTCTGAACTTTTCAACACAGTTTGCATCCATCACCCGATCTCCAAGGATCGGATTCAAGCAAGCCTGTTGACCATTCAGCACTAGATCTAATGCTCACTAGTAAGTAACTAAATACAAGATAAGTTTGCTCCGATTTCCAATGCGAGGTCTTGTCCAGTGGGTTCCACCAAGTTAGGCGTGAGAATAAAAAAAAATCTCCGATAACATTGGCTAGCATTTGCTCTATATATCATAAATTGGTACAACTTAGAATTGATAGGCCGATGTATTCCATTCGAGTGGCTGAATGGTCAACAGTCTTGCCTCTGTAGCGTGAAATGTCTGGATTCCATCCTTGGTGGTAAAGTGATTGGTGTACACTGATGAAGAGCTGCTAACTGGGATGAAACAGCTGTTTATTACTGCATGGTTTTCAATGTTATTGAGTGATAAAACTTGAATTCTTTTATCATTTCCATTCAGTTTGCAATGGGCTCAAGGCTAGCAATACTACTAGCCTGCTGAGACCTTTGGAGAGAGGCTCTGAGCTGAAGCTGATCATTCAGTAGTTGAAAGCTGAACACCCTTAGCAATGAACCACAACTCCACTTTAATAAATACTCAGTCACAGTCAGATAATAAGGCAATCCTAATTTCCCTCAAATAATAATAATTTGCTTTATTCCAGAAACAGTACTAGTGGTACAGTGTGGAATTTTCAGCACATATCTACAATATTGCATCTAATTTTATCCAACGTTTAAGAGGAGTATTTAACAAAAAAAATAAATCTAAAGACACCAACAGCAAAAAAAAACAAAAAACAACAGGAAAAACACCAAAATAATTTTTAAAAATGCGAAAAAGTACCAAGAAGTAGAAAGGAAAATAAACACCATATAATAATAATATCTCAGTATTGGGTAGTGGAAGCTATGATATGATTATGCATGGTGAGAGTAAAGCTATAGTCTTACAAGAAGTTATGAAATGATATTTAAGAATGTTTATCGCCAAGAAGATCAGTTAATTTGGTTGAAACAACTCTAAACAATCTTAAAATAACATTTCAGGGTTGTTGTTTTGTTTTTTATTGTTAGGTCTAATGCAGTGTTTGTAGTGGTAGTGTCAGTAATCCTGCATAATACAAAATTTTAAGGTGGTGACAATGGCGTTCATAACCAATGATTGTCAGTTTAATATTGCCGAAAAGTATAGAAAATAAGAAAAAACAACCACAAAAGTAATAATCACATGATGGTTAATGACAGGAAAATTTTGTAATACTCATAGTGCTAATATAGTCGGAACCAGTGGATACACAATAGAAGGAATACAGTAAAGTGGTCATTATAGTCTATAGTCATTATTGCTATTCCCATATGTTCCGATTGCAGCATAAGGCTTCAAAGGAACATATCCATTTCATCCCGTTCTCTACAGTCCCCTTTACCTGTCCCCTCGATTGCCCATAAGCTTTCATCTTCCCCTTCCTTGTAATTCTCTCGGACTCACGCTCAACTCGCCATTTCCCATTCGACTTGAGGAAATGGTGTGCAGTGTCACTCAGCGGTGTTCTCCGATTGTATCCAATTCACCTCTATCTTCTTTGGCATATTTATCGGGCAATAGGTTCTTGGTTGGTTAGTTTCCTGCACGAGATCCCTGTTGTTAGTCCTTTCTGACCACTTAGTCTTCAGTATGGAACAAAGACAGCTGTTGATCCAACGTCTGCGATAGTCTTTTTAAACTGCTGTTGGCTACGTGCTCGCCAAGTTTCTAAACTGTATGTGTGAAAGCACTGATTTTACATTCGTGTTGAAAATCTGAATATTGTTCTTTATTCCAAGGATTGCAGAAGATTTACAAACTAATTTCAGATTAATAAAAGGCCTGTCTTTCCACCGCCTGTGTACTTAAAACGATGCTACCCGAATAAGTGAAAGAGGTGACCTCCTGCAAACGTCTCCGGTTGTTGGTGGCGGTGGTTAGGTATCCTTCATCACCTTTATCTTCTCTTTGTTCATTTGAAGTCCTGTCTTTTCTGCTTCTACTACCAGCTTGTTGATTTTCACGCATAGATCTTCGAGTTTTTCTCTTTTGACACTAGACCTGAATCGTTTGCGAAGTCAAGGTCGTCTTCTTGTCTTGTCGCTTCCCACGAGACTCTGGCATAATCCAGTCCACCACAATCAGGAATATCCTTGGCGATAGTAGACAGCCTTGTCTCTTACTCCTGTTTTCATTTCATAGGCTTCGTTGGGTTTTCTGTTATGGACCACTTGAAATGGGACATTGTCATATCATCATATGTAGCTGTTGAAGTTGGGGGCAGTCTTATGTGCATACTCTTATACTTATTCATTGGTAATCTACATAGAAACTTTGTGTATTTACTAAGAGTGAATAGTAATTGGTGAATAAACAATGCATAGATTTTTATAAAAATAATGCCTATACTCAATGTCATATATATATATATATATTATTGTTCCCTTGCCTCCCTAGTGGAACATAGGGCTTCAACTGCACGTCTCCACTTGCTTCTGTCTTCTGCTGTACTTTTCACCTGCATCCATGTTAGTCCATACTGTTTCAACTCCTCTTCATACGATCTCCTCCATGTCACCCTTGGACGTCCCACTCGCCGCTTCCCTTTCGGGTTCCACTCGAGGGCCTGACGCGCGATGTCACTCAACGGCCTCCTCAGAGAGTGTCCAACCCATCTCCACTTTCTCCTGCATATTTGTTGGGCGATTGGTTCTTGTTTTGTTTGTTCCCATAGCTTCTTGTTGGTGATTCCTTCCGGTCATATGATCTTGAGTATAGAGCGAAGACAGTTGTTGATAAAGGTCTGGAACAGGCTGTTGGAAATATTCTTTGTGACCCACTGGCCAAGTTTCTGATCCGTATAGAAGAAGTGACTGACTTGACGTTTGTATTGAAAATCCGAATTTTGTTGTTGATGGTGAGTGACGAAGATTTCCAGATTGGTTTCAGGTTGATGAATGTGTTTCTCGCCTTCCCGATTCTCAATTTGACATCCTTGTCCGTTCCTCCTGTGGTTGAGACAATACTCCCTAGATAAGTGAATGAAGTAACCTCTTTCAAATCCCTCCCGTTGATGGTGATTGGCGCTGGATGTTGCTGCTGCTGCTGTTGTTGGTTGGTTGGTTATTTTCATGACGTCCGTCTTGTCTATGTTCACCTGGAGTCCTGTCTTTGCTGCTTCTTCGACGAGTTTGTCGGTTTTGTAAGTCTTCGATTTTGTGTGACATCAAACATGAATCATCCGCGAAATCCAGGTCATCTAGATTCTTCACGTCGGTCCAGGATATCCCTGTCTTCTCGTTTTCCACTGTCTGACGCATAATCCAGTCCACCACAATTAGGGATATCATTGGTGATAATAAGCACCCTTGTCTGACTCCTGTGTTTGCTCCAAACGCTTCGCTGAGTTTTCCGTTGTGGATCACTTGACATGTACCGTTGTCGTACAGCTGTTGAATATCTGGGGTACGCCGTAGTACTCGAGTAATATATGTATGTATATATATATATATATATATATATAGTAATACCCCTTTTTTTCTTTTGTCGTAAGGAGACTCATCGTGCTGAAGTTTCTGTAGCAACTTTGTTTACAGGTTGGGTTTGCTAGCTTAACGCTTGAGAAGGGGGTTGTTACATGAATATGTATAGGTTACAGGAGAGCGACTTTTCGGGTTGCTCCTCTTAGCATCAGGAAAACAAAGAATAAAACATTCGAAACAACATCAGCATGTTAAACGGTATATTAGAATGAATTGTAGACGAAAACATAAAATATGCCAGAAAAGTTGGACACTGAATTTCTGCTAAATTATCAATAATCTCCATTTGAAGGTAGTTAGTTAGTTATTCAGACGTTCATTTTTCTCAACTTAAGTTCGATAACTACCCAGCCAGATTCTATTTTGTGTTAAATCATTTATTTATTGAGATGTTTATTTTGTTCAGTTTTTCCAAGTAGCAATTTTTGTTTCCCTGAACTGTTTTCTAATCTGATTAGTTGAAAATTTTATGTCTAGTTAGTTGACGTCTACGTCGATTCGATGAAGTTCTGTTGATGTTTTGAAGTTGAATTCTACTAGCTGAGGATAGAATCGGTACATACATAGTGTTATGTATGTTTCTAAATTCATTTCTCACTTGCGTTTTGCGTGCTCGAGAACATCTCCCACAATGGCTAAGTAAAGGTGTAGTGAAAACCATTAACAGTTCAATATTATACCACCTGGTCCAAACTGGCCACAAAGGCAGCCAGCATTGAAGAATCCTTCTCTATAATCTACCGGGTGCCTAATAAATTGCCAAAATCATCGAAGCACAGCATGCTCCAAACAGCAGAGGCTATTGCAATTCGCCTCAAACAACCAGTGCTCTGTGTTCAAAAGAAGCAAGTCCAGCCCCTACTACTGCCCTGGCTGGCCTTCAGTAGAAACTATAAACTCATGAATCTGTAATATTATCTTTCATAATTTTTCTGATATTCAGTTTATTGTTATGTTGATGCTATTCAGCTGTAATCTATCAATATTATTGATTCGATGTTATTTAAACAGCATTAATGTTGTTCATAACACTAATTCATTCATTCACTATAATGTATTATATAACTGTAGAGCCTGATGAAGAGCAGGTTATCGAAAAGAGTATTCTTTGTTCAGTATCGATTCTTTTGAGAAAAACAACCTTTTAATTGTTAACCTCATATCCAACAACCTTCCACCCTTTCCTCGGTTTACTATCATCGGTTAGTGAACTAGGCGGGATTTTAGAGGGCGCTGATGGGAATCGAACCCACCCCGCACCCCAACCATTGACAAACACAATACATATATAAGTTGTGTCTATAATACTGTAAAATAATTTGGCTAAGTGTTCTTCTCATTTCTTTTCATTTCTTTTCCAAATTAAAGGCTGCTATGTCATTTGAACGTGTATTAAAAGATAATCCTAATAATTATGAAACATTAAAAATACTTGGCAGTTTGTATGCTCAATCAAATAAACCTGACAAGCGAACACAATCCAAACAATTATTTAAACAAGTAAGCATAATTGGTAGTATGCTGTTATTATTATTATTACTATTGACTACTTTCATCCTTCTCTGATTTATATTCAGTGTTCTCTTAACTTGACACTGTACCTCCAAATATTTTCAAATTTAGTTTTTGTTTTATTACAGCTTGATTCCACACAGTATTTTGGTACAAGTATGGAATTTTCAGCAGGCCGACCATTGTTATTAGGTATGCGTCGGTCGGGGATCGAACCCCGGATCATGTGCATGGTTAGTGAGCGTCCTAACCGCTGTGTCGCCGATGCACACAGCCTATAGTCTACTAGCGGAAATCGGTTCTGATAGACGGCGTAATGAAACGAATGACAATAGATACCTAGTAATGCAATAATAGTAATAATAATAATAATAATAGCTGTATTCTGGACATTGTCTATATAATGTACAGAATTTTCAATGGAGTGTATTGCATAACACTTTCTCTTTGTTCAGGATCTTAGAACAAAGCTCAATTAAAAACAAGCTTTGTCAGTTGAAGGATCCTGTGAAGCCCACTAAACAAAACAATTCAGTTTATCTAGTCCGCTGTCTGTAATGATTGTCAGGCGAAATACATAGGTCAAAGTAGTAGAATGGGGTTAGTCAGACTAGCGGAACACGAAAACCTAGCGAGATCTAGATTAGTTAACCCTAATACGATAAGAAATCTGGAGAATAGTTCAGCTATAGCACTCACTACATGCAATTACACACAAGCATGCAATAGGATAGATGGGATAAGATGGCAGTTTTAAAATCTAATATAACAGGGTGGAAGGAGGGATTGGGAGTGGAATCTTTATTTATCGGATCAACTTCAAACACGTGTAATAGGAATCATTCAGTGGTTCCTTAATTGATATCCATGGTCAAACTTGAAAAGCAAATCAAATCCCTAGAGATCAACTCTTAGAAATTAACTGGTGTTAGTTTGTAGGGAGGCAAGTTGTATTTCAAAATATTACTTTTCTGGATTTTAATCACCTCATTTAGAAAACTGTTGAAAACTAAGGAGTACTGAACAGCTGTTTTGTCCTTGTTTGGGACTCTTCAGCACAGTACACACATGACTCCACAACCGAGATTTGAACCAACGGTGAATTCGTGATCACAATTGAAACCAGACAAATCCCTGAAAAAAGACACTCAAAAGTTAATCTAACACTCACTAATGACTGACTACAGGATTAAGTCCAGCAAGTGACTAGCAAGTTCTACTACCAGTGGGCGTCAGTGGCACAGCGGTTAGGACGCTCGCTGACCACTCACATGGTCCGGGGTTCGATCCCCGGCTGACGCACTCCTTTACCTCGCTAAGGCAGTAATGAAGCTGGTAAAGAGGAAAGGTTGGGCATGAGACTAGCAACCTCATCCTGTAAAAATAAACACCACTGCTACAAAAACTTCAAAGCTCCAGAGCTTGAAGGCGCCCTATGTTCCACTGGGAACGTGAAGGAATAAAAAAAGGTTCTACTAAGTCACAGGTGTAAGGACAGATACTCACTGACGACACTGGTTGGCGATTACGCTTTATATCGTGAGTTGGTGGAAGTTAGAATTGATTGGCCATTGGATTCCGTTCCAGTTGTTGAACGATCAATGGACTTGTCTCGTAACTTCAAGCCATGGGGACCGGGGTTATGGGTTCAAAGTAGGCTGTAACAGCTGTCCAATACTCCTTTGGGTTTTTTCTCTCAATGAACGGTTCTGTAACTGAAGTCAATTTCTAATCGGAATTGAAGTCAATCAAATATATCTGAAAAACCAATACTTGAATATATTATTACTTATTTTTTTGTGGTCTTGTTTTAATGAACTTTTCATTTGATTTCTTTGTTCTTTAAATATAACATAACAGGTAACTGAAAGTCAACCGGAAGATGTAGAAGCATGGATTGAATATGCTCAACTCTTGGAAAATAATATACCTGAAGCATTAGAAGCTTATTCAAAAGCATTGTCTATTTTAGAAAATATTCAATTAGATATTGCTCCAGAAATATTAAATAATATTGCTACTCTTTATTATATGAAAGGGGAATATGATAAATCTTCTGTAAGTATTGTTTGTTGTTGTCTGTTTTTACTGTTATTATTATTACTGCCATTAATTTAATCAATAAAACGTGATATCCATCCAGAAGCCGACCACATTGCGGAGGTGTTGACTGCCTGACTGGGATCCTTCAGAATGAAGGGGAGTTCTATATCTTATGTTAAATGATATAATGTAGGCAGTAACTATGAGATTAGGCATAGAGTGAGGGGAAAAAAGATAAGTGAATCGTTAAAGTTGTGAAGTTATATCGATTGAGATGTTTACAGCATGTGTTACGCATGAAAGGTAACCGGCTTCCACGTCGAGCAATGTTAGCTGATATAGACTGGAACCGGAAGAATGCTTAGGGATGGTCAAATTAATCCATGATGTCTCTGACTGTTGGTTCAGTGAATGTAAAGACGTGTAAACTGCTTGCTTAGGGTCCTTAAAACGCTTAGAAGCAATTGCTGAAGACTGTCAATCTTGCAGATGTGTAATGACAGAAGACAAGGGCCAGGTAACAGATCGTTTATTGAGGAAATCACTGGATATTTATAGCTTTTTATGTACATTATGCTTAGGTTTATTGTTAGCAGAGGAGCAACGTCTTCTGATTGGTTGTTTTCTTGCTGATGGTTATTCTGTACTGCTTGTGACCATTTCTCAGAAAGTTAAACCATATATCTGCGAATCGTATTTGTACACGTTGTCTGCTGTGATTAGTTGTTGAGTTCCTCAAGGTTAGGCTTTGTTATTGTTTTTCTCATGCCCCAGATTCAAGACGTAGCGCTGACGTAAATTGTTGTTTACAATTTCGGCTTGTTCACAGATGCATTCACTCTTTATGAATGCCTAGATCCTTTAATTTTCTCCAATGTATATCCTTTCATTATATTTCCTCTGAATTTCTTCTTTTTTCTTTACCTTTTGTATGTGTGTGTGTGTGCGCTGTACGGAGTGTAGTAAATTGAACTGCTTCACTTTATGTGCAAAATTCTCCGCTGACAAGTCACTGAGTCAATCAATCATCCTAAAGTAGTAGTAATCAATTTATCGCCTACTGATAACAATTTCTGTTATAATTAGCGTGTGGATTTCTTCAATAGAAACCTTGATACTTAACCGGCATGATGGTTTTATTTTACTGGAAATTATGAAACCGTTTCAACTACAGGCGGAACTGACGAGGATATCAAAGCAAGAATCGGAAAAGCAAGACAAGCTTGCACTACTCTCAAGTTTGTGTGGAGGTCAACAGCACTCACCATCAAAAATAAGATGCGGATTTTCAATTCCGATGTGAAGTCCATGCTACTATACGGATCAGAGACTTGCAATGCGCGTCATAAAGAGCATCTCAAACAAACTGCAGACCTTCATTAACAGTTGTCTTCTTTCAATACTCAAGATCAGATGGCCAGAAGAGATCAGCAACAGAGATCTCTGGCAATGAGCGAACCAACCCAGCAGGAACCGATTGTGAAACAAATAGGCAGGAAGAAATGGAGATGGATTGGCTGGCCATACTCTGAGGAAACCATCAAGTGAGATCACTAGACAAGCCATTGCTCGAGTGGAACCTGAAAGGGAAGCGGCGAGTTGGTCGTCAGTGCGAGGGTGACTTGGAGAAGGTCATGTGAAGAGGAGATGAAAGCATGTGGGCAGACTTGCAGCCAGTTGTAGACTCTAGCAGAGAACCGAACGCAATGGAGAGGCACGGCTGAAGCCCTATGTTCCTCTAGGAATTAAAGGAAATAATAATAATGAAACCGTTTTATATGTATACATATGTGTATCAGCTTTCATGATTTTAAGTCTTTCTTTCTGGAACACATTCTATTGATCATTTCATCATCTTAGTCATTTTATTATTTTATGCCTACAGTTGTATATATATGTATATATCCATTCTTTTCGCTTAAAGGAATATTTATTTTCTATAGTTTGGTTTGTAAGGATTAGTTATGTTTTACGAGTTGATCACGGACTGATATCAGTTAGAGAACCATTGAAAACCAGAGAGTACTGGACAGCTGCTGTTTCATCCTAGTTTGGGAATCATCGGCAGTACACACCCACTGCCAGAGTTCGGACCCAGGACCTTCCGGTTACAAGGCAAGCTCGTATACAATTCAGCCACTGGGACCCGATTCAATGGCCAGTGCATGAATTCTAACTTCTACCAATTCGTGATTTAGTGCGACCCCAACCATTGTCGTTGGTGGGACGTCCATCCACACACGTGACATCTAATTGGACCTCATTGGTCACGACTTCTCACTAGAATTCCAGGAAACTCCATCCTGTAGCAAGTCACTAGCGAGCATCAGATTAATTTTCTATAGTTTGGTTTGTAAGGGCTTGTTATGTTTTACGAGTTGATCACGGACTGATATCAGTTAGAGAACCATTGAAAACCTTGTAACCGGAAGGTCCTGGGTTAGAATCCTAGTTGGTGTGTACTGCCGATGATTCCCAAACTAGGATGAAACAGCAGCTGTCCAGTACTCCCTGGTTTTCAATGGTTCTCTAACTGATATCAGTCCGTGATCAACTCGTAGAATATTTATTTATTGGTTTTTCCAAGATGCTCATGAATTTCTAACCTGTTGTTGATAAGAGTTAGGAAGCAGTATTGCCTACTATGGGAATAACCGTTATATAAAACTTACTACGTGCCTCTTTGGTCCAGTGGTAGACTGCTCTCCAACCACACCGGAGTTCTGCGGCTCAGTCAGTAAGTCAGTAGTAAACTCAAAGAAAAGGAGAGATTGGTTGTGGTGGTGTTAGCATTCCTTATTCTTTAAAAACCAATACCATCACTACTGAAACTTGAAAAAGAAGTCTTGAAGTTCTGTGTTCCACTCGGAACTCAAACGCATAAGAAAAAAGAGGCTAAAAACTTCATTCATATAATGTTTATGTGGATATGTAAAGACGGAAATAGGCGGTTATAGAGTCCAACACATGCATGCTAATGTGGTGAGAGCTGGTTGCGAACAAGCCAAAATTGTAAACAACAATTTACGTCAGTATTATGTTTTGAATTAGGATCATGAGGAAATCGATAACAAAGCCTAACCTTGAGGAACTCACCAACCAATCTTAGCGGACTTAACGTGTACAAATAAGATTTGCAGATATATGGCTTAACTCTGAGAAACGGTCGCAAGGAAACAACCAATTAGAAGAAGTTGCATCTCCTGTGACAATAATGCTAATAATAATGTACATAAAAATCCATATCTTCTGTCGTTACACTAGTACGACCATTTTGGGTCTATCTTTTCTAAATTCCTCCCTAAAGTGGGAAGGTAGTATAGCTGGACTGTTCGTCGCCCCTGGGAAACTGCTGTTATATCTCTATTCCCCAATAATAACACTTCACTTCCCCCCTCCAATATAGTGTAAACAAGTTACACTATGATCATAATTGCTTTTAGTCTAATCGTTATACAAATGACTGTTGTGGCACGATAGGATCTTTAGGAACATTCATTCCTGCCATTGTGTCTTACTCGGGCATCTCAAGGAAACAGCTGTCGGCCTTTAACTTTTCCTTTGAGGCTCTTAGGGAGGCGTAAACTGCTATAATAGTCGGTGATAAACATATTGTCCCTTTATCCCCTTATAAGTTCCGGAAAGAACCTGGTAATTGTCGCTAATTTCATTTCTCTATTTCTTCGTTAATGTTTTTGTAAATGGAAGAAAATATTCATTGAAGTCATGAAGGAAATGAAAGATAATTCAGTGAAGAAAATTTTCTTCATCTATGAAGTCGTCTTCAAAGGATGTACAGTCCCATTCATATTTACCGAATACGTATAGTAGTCTGTTATTGAGCACTAGGGATGTGTGTGATATAATTGATGCGGCGGTTTTCGACGGAAATTCAGGGATGCTCGAGCACCTGGTGATCTCAGATCGATCAGCCCCACAAGAGTCGTCTTTTTTAAAATTATCTACAAAGCCTGACCGAATGATACAATCGATGTTAGGTTTCCACACATGTGTTTGGTGGAGGCGCTAACGATTCATCAAAATGTGTAACCAAGAAATCTGCGTGTCGGAAGGACTTTTCTATCTTATTTTTCTGGCCTGGTCTGGATCGCTTTCCTAGACGTTCTCTTCTATTTCTAGTAATTAATTCAGTATATAATCACTCTTACATGTTTATTTTTGTTATAACTGAATAGAACTGAATAAATCCGTCGCTACTTTGTTATGTTTGCGGCTGTTAATTAGTGTATAACGGTAATGAACTCGACTGGTACGCTAATGTGTCTATTTGACCGTTGTACCTTCCGATTCACTGAGCCACGCAGATATCAAAAGACAAAGGCTGGCCTATGACTGTAAGATATTGTATTGTACTGTGCATCTATTAGGAAACAAAACATCATATTTATATATTTAATTAACCACAATACAGTTGGCTCACAACCGTGGGAATGGACTGTTCCTTTTGGCTGGAAATGTCTATTCTCATTGGTTGGCTATCCGACACAGACCAAGGTGGGACAAACGACGGTGAATTGATCACACACTCAACCACAATATACGTGAGAAATGATAGATTCACATAGCAACTCCATCACAAGATAAATCACTCCATAACACGATTCGTGAGAAAGGATGATAATATACTATTTTATGCTGGTTCCTATCAATTTTGTACATTTTATCAAGTTTCTTTTTAATCCTTACCCTCTTCACAGTTGTCAAATGGACACCAGAATACCTACCTCTTCATCGGATAATAATTTATACCTTGTCAGATTTCAAATCCACCATTTCCGCCCTGTCGTTGGTCGTTACGTAACATTGCGTCTTTAGTAATTACTTCACCCCACACCACTTTGTCATTCAATATAATAGACTTCTATGCATTTTCGATAAATATGAATACGGTTGTACCACAGACCTTTAAAGATGACTTCATTCATAAAGAAAAGTTTCTTCACTGAACTGTCTTTTATTTTCTTCAATAACAGTGGAAACATTTTCTCTTTCTCTTCGTTGTTTATCTGTCCAACTGATTATTAAGATTATTCACTGCCCAATTCGATTGATCTTTTTATTGAATTCTCTGCGTTTTTGTGACTGTTTTCATGTCATCATTAGAAGAAATCCCTTATTTGGGGATACCTCGTTTTCTCGGTATCCACTTTATACAATATCCTTTCTTTTGTCCTTTTTTCCCCTATAGGAATTCTTTCAACGTGCCTATGATCGTATACTTGAAGAACAAAGAAGTGAAGAGAATGAAATTGGTGATGTCAGTGGAACATCGAATGAGGAATATTATCATGGATTGGGTATAACTGTGCGTTATAATCAAGCAAGACTACATGAAGCACAAGGTCGTTGTGATTTAGCTGAAGAAATCTACAAAAGTATTCTACTTCGACATCCAAGCTATATTGAATGTAAGTCATTTATGAGTTAAGCATTCGTGTGTGTCTGTGTGTGCGTGTGACAGAGGGGGTGGGGAGTTCAAACTTGATGAAATGTTGCTTTTTATATATCATTGATCTACTTCATTCAGGTTAATCACAAGCTCGAGTAGCTCTGTGGTAACGTCTCTGACTGCAGCGCTCACTGAATGACGCAGCTTCGAATCTCAGAGGGGAGGGACATGAGTTCCCTCAAGGTTGCAGATACGCCTTGCTGTGAGTGGTGAGTGCCAACTAGCACGAAACCTAGTTCAAGCAAGGCTTTCTGACGATCGCTTTCAATTATGTAAGACAAATAAAGGAATAAATAAAAGTGATAAATGTTTTGCTTAATAGTCACTAGTTAATTTTGTTAGTTTACCCTTTCTAGACTGAATTTTCGAAATAGAATTTTGCGTGGAAGTGCAACAGTTCATTCAAGTAAACCTATGCCTAAAGTAAAGACATAAATGCAGGAAGTATGATAAATAGATATCTACAGAAGAAAGAATAGTAAAAATTCAACGTATTTAGGAGATAGCAAACATTTGAATGGTGCGTCGGTGGCACAGCGGTGGAATGTTCGCCAACCACGCCTCATGTGGTCCAGGGTTTGGTCCCCGGCTGACGCATTCCTTAACCTCGTTAAGCCAGTAGTGAGACTGGTAAACAGGCAAGGTTGGTCATGAGGCTGGCTAGCAAACCCATTCTGTAAAAATAATCATCACTGCCACCGAAACTTCAATTGTTTTTTAAATTTTAAATTATAGCTTGATTTAACACAGTACTTTTTTTTGGTGAGACGTATGGAATTTTCAGCATGTGATATCGGTAGCCCAAATTTCGCAGGTCGACCATGGATATCAAGTGTGCGTCGGCAGGAGATCGAACGCCGTATCATGTGCATGGTCGGCTAGAGTCATAGCTACTGTGCCACCGATGCACTGTAGCTTGAAGCCGTATGTTCCCCTGGGAACGTAAAGGAATAAAAAAACACATTTGAATGTATCTGCAGCAATGAGAATGATTTCCTCCATCTACTTTAACCTGGAAACAACTGGAGAGTATCATTAGCGCTTATGCAATAAGTGTAGTGAAACAATTGATCTGAAAATTCCTCCATGAACAGTCTATTTATAATATTGATATTTATTCAAATATTCCAGTTAACCTTGAGATGAGTACCTTTTTTCCCCTGAGCTGTATATCATTTTTCTAACGTTTACATATCTTATTTTGACTTAGTCTGTATTATTTGTCTTTGTTTTTGATTGATTCCTCAATTTTAATGCTTCTATATACTGTTGTGTGATGGTGTTGATAACAGTGTTTTATTTGACTGAAGTCAATGGTTACACCGTGGAGTGGCTTTTCTTCGTCTTGAACTTGACTTTGGCAAACGTGTTTTTTCTGTCTGATTCTTATAGTTAGATATCCATCACTTTGACAATAGTATGAATATCTGCCGCACTCTGTATAATGAAAGAGAGTTGGATTTTCAACACTAACGTCAGTGCTTCTATACGGGTTCAGAGACTTTCGCACACGTCATGAAAAGCATTTCCAACAGGCGCTACAGCAGGCCTTTATCAACAGCTGCCTTCTCTGGCTCTACACTAGATATCAGATGACCGACCAAAAAGTATGAGCAACAAAGCTCCCGGGCAATCAACCAACTAAAAAACTACTACCTAAGAAGTATGCTAAGGAAAATGGAGATTTGATTGGACACACACACTCAGGAGACTATCGAGTGGCGTCGCTCCCCAGGTCATCGAGTGGAACGTGAGCGTGAAGTGATGAGTTCGGTGTATGCCTGTGGGTTACAGAGAAGAGATCATGTGAGTAGGGGGTGAAAACTTATGGGGAATCATGGAACCAGGTAAAGAGGACTGCAGAGCCCTAGTATTCCGACGGTGTGGGTGCTGTTCAAAACTGATTCTTCTAGACTTGCAGACATTTGCGCAAATAATTACTTATTCTAACTTATGTAATTACCGTCAAATGGTCTCTTCTTTGAACTATTCATTTTTTAATTTCATGCCTAGACATATTTTTTGCTCTTTTCACTTAAGCTACTGAGATAGATATAAGTAGTAATATTTGTTTCTTAAAATTGATTTTTCTACTTTCATTAAACAATAAATCAGGTTATATGCGCCTTGGTTGTATTGCTCGTGATCGAGGACAGATCCGTGATGCTTCAATTTGGTTCAAAGAGGCTTTAGATGTAGACCCGGTAAGTAATCAGTTGGTTCATATGTTTTTTTTTTGTTTCCATTTTCACTTACTACGGATTTCTTTCTCTTTTTTTTGATGAGAGATAACAAAAGAATTGAAGTGCTAGGTCTAAGAGATTCACCTTTTCATATTTATGAATTTTTATTTGTATGTTAAAGATTGGGAACTAATTGTTTACCGATTGCTATCAAATATTCTACGTCCACTTCCTTGTACCTTAGAAATTTCATGGAGTGGTCTTAACTTCTTAATATATGTGTAAAACTTAGGCACTGTGGTGCTAAGTAATTCCATATTAGTTTGTTTATTAGATGTATCACACAGTGAAACAATATTATTTAATGGATGACAAAGTTTCGAACATAATTTATTCTTCATAATCATATCGTCAATTATAATCACACGAGTTCGAAACTTGATTTTTATAGTTTTCTTTGTCCTCTCCTATTTGTCGTAGGGGTAATAGAATTTTCCAGATGTCAGGGTGGACAGGTGTTGAATCATTTCTATTACACTTATCTGCAGTTGATTCGATAAACAAGGCTTCTTTTATCAATCTCTCCCTGCAGCTTGTTAAATCAGATTTTAAAACTGTCATCTTATCCCATCCATCCTATTGTATGGTTGTGTGTAACTGCATGTAGTGCTATACCTGAACTATTCTCTAGATTTATCTTATTCGGGTCAACTAGTCTAGATTTTGGTGCTAGGTTTTTATGTTCGGCTAGTCTGACTGCCCCTATTCTACTAGTTTGACCTGACAATCATTGCAGGCAGGGTATTAGATAAACTGAATTGTTTTGTTTTAAAGGCTCCACAGGATCCTTTAACTGACAAAGTTTGTTTCTAATTGAATTTGTGGGTTTGAATGCCACTTCGAATACTGAATAAAGCTAAGAACAATTTAGATAAGTGTATACGACGCCAAAGTAAATTGTTTTGTTTTAAAGGCTTGTTTCTAATTGAGTTTGTGGGTTTGAATGCCACTTTTATTCCTGCTTTGTTAAGAATTCTGCGTAAGGCTTCCGAGGTTCCTTCCTTGTATGGAATTACTACTGATGATTTATATTCCTTATTGTTGGTGTTGTTATTATCCTGTGCGTGTTTGACAGGCATGTCGTCATTAATATTATCATTATTGTTATCACTATCACTACTATCATTATTTATTTTATTTTTGTATTTTCCTACATACTTTCTGATTAATTTATCAGGTCAATTATTAAGTTTCAAAGCTGCTCTTATATGCTTCACTTCCTGCCTTAAATTTTCTTTGGTACTACTTAGTTTTCGAACTCTGTCACTTAAACGTTTTACCAATCCTATTTTTACTGACATAGGATGGGGTGATCGCAAGTCCAAATATCTGTTTGAATATATATATATAAAAGTGAACACTACTTAACACCTTGATCGGTCAGTTATATTAAAAACGATTATCACTTTTCTGAAATTTTGACTAGACTGAAAGATGCTTGCGTTCCGAGTTGGACATAGCGTGGGGATCCTAAGCTAACGTACAACCTTCTCTCCTGTTTAGGCTTACTGTCGGCTGGTTAACTGAGTAAGCATTAGGAGCACATCGGTTGGGTATCGAACTAGAATCTCCTGCATAGTTGACGAGCATTTTAATACTGAACCATTATTACACACGCTTCAGTATTATTTACTAATTATTTAGTTCCTTTACGTTCCTAGTGGAACGTACGACATGAAGCTCTAGAGCTTTAAAGTTTCGATAGTAGTGGTATTTATTTTTACGGGATGGGGTTGCTAGCCAGCCTAATGCCCAATCTTGCCTCTTTAACAGTATTATTACTGGCTGAGCGAGGTTAAGGACTGCGTTTATCGGGGATTGAACCCCGGACCACATGAGGCGTGGTTGGCGAACATTCCACCGCTGTGCCACCGACACAGTCATACTTCAGCATGCAAGAATCAAATCATTGAAGTACATATCTCTATTGAAGATTTGTCTGCTTGTTTTCTCTCTCACTTCTTGTTCTTATTCTATTTTAACACTACCATTATGAGTAAAATTAATTTTGATAAGGTCTCACAGTGTTATACAGTAATATTTACTGATGACGTTTCGAGCACCATTTATTGCTCATAATCATATCAAGGCACTACTCACACAACTTTCTAACTTCGTTTATATAATTCAATTATTTTTCATCTCTTGACTTGATTGGTAGTAGTATTTTCCGTATTTCTAGGATGAAAGATGAGTCATTCCTTTTGCATGTGTTTGGTGTGGACTCGATGAACAAGGATTCAGTAATCAGACTCCCTCACCACCTATCTAGATTACTTCTTGGAATTTTAACCCTCTCCAACGCTATTGTGTGATTGTGTGTTAACGCATGCATTGCAATTGCCGAGCTTTTTTCTAAATTACTTATCTTCTCTGGGTCAACCATTCTTACCTTAGCGTAATTCTTATGTTCCGACAATCTGACTACCCCCGACCTACTAGTTTGAGCTATCTAGTTGACCTCACTCACAGTCATTGCAAGATATTTTGTAAATTATATTATTTTGTCTATTTGAGTCAACTGACAGGGTCCTTTAGCCTACGGAGCTTGTCCAACCTGAGTGAGTTTGTAGGTTTAAATACCACTCTAATTGCCGCTACATAGGGTCTCAGATGCCCCCTCCTCATATGGTATAACAGTTAATGCCTTATATTCTCTCTTATTTATGTTATCACTACTTTTTTCATAATTATTTTTATTTTGACCTTTTCTGATCTTCCTAATGAATTTTATAGGATAGTTATTCAACACCAACGCTTCTTCCATCTGTTTCATTTCACCATTAAGGTCTTTTTTTGTGCTACTTGGTGCTATTGCTCGGTTTGTTAGACACTCAACTAAGCTTGCCTTTACAGATAACGGATGAGATGAATTAAATTCTAAAATCTGTTAGCAGAATGTGTTGACTTTTTATAAACGCTAGTGTGAAGTTTACCTTCTTCTATTCGTTTTATTTTACAATCTAACATATCTAATTCTCCTTGTTCATTTTCCGGCTCAATTGTAAATTTTATTCCCTCTACTAGTGAGTTTAAATGTGTCAAGAAGCTAGAGAAGCTAAAACTAAGTAGTATAAAATGTAGTCGAGTAATCAACCAATCACATGTATGTGTGTATATTATTTATTTTGTTTTCATTTTCTCTGTCATTCTTCATTTCTAGGATAATCCAGATGCTTGGAGTCTGATCGGCTTATTACATTTAAATAAAAATGAAATAGAACAAGCTCAAAAGAAATTTGATCGAATAATTAGACAGCCAGCTTATCGAGCCGATGCCTTCTCACGTATATGCTTGGGGAATATTTGGCTGACAACATTGCATCATCCTATTAAAGATAAAGATAAGCGTAAAAGGCATCAGGTAATATGACTTTTTTCTTCTTTCTAAAGTATTTTTGTTCAACTAATTCATAATCCCAATTGTGTGGACACGGTTTGGCTATGCAAAGAAGTCTAGATTGTGTAGGTCCAGGTATATGAGGCAATCGGAACTTATATAATTTAGGTCTCTGAGTGATATTTTATGTTTTCATTACTATTGCTCCTTTACCTACCTGGGAAGCATCGTTTCAACTACAGGCTGAACTGACGAGGATCGGGAAAGCAAGACAAGCTTTCATTACTCTCAAGTCTGTCTGCAGGTCAACAACACTACTCAGCATGGAAAATAAGATGCGAATTTTCAACTCCAGTGTGAAGTCAGTGCTACTAAATATGCGGATCAGAGACTTGGCGCCGCGTCACAGAGTACTTCGAACAAACTACGCACCTTCATCAACAACTGTCTTCGCTCAATACTACTCAAGATCAGATGGCCGGGCAGAAAAGATCAGCAACAGGGATCTATCTCTGGCAATGAGTGAACCAACCCAACAGGAACCAATTGTGCAACAAATATGCAGGAAGAAATGGAGGTGGATTGGCTGGCCATACTCTGAGAAAACAAACCATCAAGTGACATCACACACCAGGCTATCACTTGAGTGGAACCCGAATGGGAAGCGGCGAGTTGGTCGTGAGTGCAAGGGTGACATGGAGGAGGTCATGTGAAGAGGAGATGAAAACATGTGGGCAGACGTAGAACCAGGTGAAAACGTTGGCAGAGAACCAAAGGTAATGGAGACGTGTGGCTGAGGCCCTATGTTCCTCTAGGAATTAAAAGAAACAATATATATATATATATATATATATATATTACTACCGTCTGCGTCGGTGGCATAGTGGTTAGGACGCTCGCCGACCATGCACATGGTCTGGAGTTCAATCCCCGGCCGACACACTCCTTTACCTCGCTAAGCCAGAAATAATGCTGGTTAAGAGGAAAGGTTAGGCATGAGGCTAGCAACCCCATCCTGTAAAATAAGCACTGCTACAGAAACTTCAAGCCTCTAGCTTGAAGCCCTATGTTCCACTGGGAACGTGAAGGAAATTAAAAAAAGAAATATATTACTACTATTATTTACATACGAACTCAGTGCGATATATGCATTTATAAATTTGACATACTATCATAGCTTTCACCTCTCTGTGCTGACCTGACTTGCATAGCGCTACAATTCAAAAAGCTTTACGATAGTTGAAATGAACGTCTCTGTTATTTCACGCCAGAGTTTTGATTGAATAAGGCGTAATGCTGAAACCATGTACCCACTCAAGTGTAAGTTTCTGAAACTCTACTGGGAATGTTTGACAGTGAAATCGTACTGCTGAAGGAAGGAGGGTGTTACAACAGTAGCAAAGTGTATTTTTGACCGATAGATAGTTTGAACACTCTTTTCACAAGTTGAATAACAATATCTACGTAAAAAGAAACATTTGTCTTTGGTTTTTGTCTTATACACTTTTAATAGTTTGCTGTCAGATATTCTAAATGAGGCATTCATCTATCGATGAGGTATACCTGGCAATTGATTATACATCCATCTTAATATATTCCTTTTTTTTTTCTAAATCTCTTATAGGATCGTGCCCTATCCTTCTACAAGGCTGTTTTATGCGCTGATCCTCGAAATATCTGGGCTGCTCATGGTATTGGTTGTGTTCTTGCCCACAAAGGCTTTGTCAATGAAGCACGTGATGTATTTGCACAAGTTCGTGAGGCTACAGCTGATTTCCCTGATGTATGGATTAATATAGCGCATATATATGTGGAGCAGAAACAGTATACAGCTGCTATACAAATGGTAATTTAAGTTGATTGATTGTCATCGATACGCTCCCATTGTTTGTTTGTGTGTGTGTTAGGTGTGTGGATACTGTATAATCTCTCTCTCTCTTTGTTTTTGTCTGCCTCTTGCTGGTTGTTGCCCATTGGTCCAAGCGCTTGACTTCCAACCAGTGCGTCGTAGGTCCGAATGCTGTTCCACGCACCGCAGTTAGGACAGCCCTAGATAGTATAACTAGTCCTCACACGCACAATAGGTGTGGCTCATTGTCAACCGTATCGAATCGCAAGTGGTTGTTGAGTAACTGCTCCTCGCTTCCTTTACCTTATTGTACCACTCGTTCGAACAATTATTGTGTTTTGATAATATTATGTATGATTGTGTGTATTTGTGAGGTAAGTGCGTATAACAGTGAGAGTGTTCTCCGGATTACTATCAAATACGCAAATTGCGATAACAAATCAAAATGTGACAGTCATTTACCGGAAGTTATGTCACTGTTTCAATGTGAAAGTTAACGATCATTGTTCTATCAAACAATACTATATCAGTGCAGATCTCATCAGGTATCCAGATCAATTAAAGGATCACTGAAAGTTCATGAGTGCTAGATAGTTGTTTCAGCTTAATCTGGGACTCTTTATCAGCTTACACCTTCAGGTCACTCGCCGAGCTCGTTGATTATATTTACCGATTGGGTTTGAGGTTATTGACCCGTGGATTCTAACTTCTGTCAACTTGTGATATAATGCCACCACCAACCAATGCGATAAAGTCGTGAATGCGTACTGTTGAAAGGTTCGGAACTGTGAGGAAACAAGCCTAAAACATTGTACACTATATTAATTTATGGTGTATTATGGTAAGCAACTATTATTACTAGTCCCTTAGGTTCCAAGTGGGACATGTGGCTTCAGCAGCCCATAAACATTTCATTCTTTCTTCTGCAATCCTCTCTAGCTGGCTCCACAATTGCCCAAACCCTCTTATGTCATCTTCACATCACCTCCTCCATGTTGCCCTCTTACACCCAACTCGTTATTGTTCATTCTGGTTCTACAGGAGGGAAGGTGTTGTGCGTGATTTCACTCAACGGTCCTCCATCTGTATTTTCTTCGGCATATTTATTTGACAATAGGTTCTTGGTTCATTCGTTATATCATCCTATTGCATGCTTGTGTGTAGTTGCATGTAGTGAGTGTTGTAGCTGAACTATTCTCCAGATTTCTTATCTTACTAGGGTCAACTAATCTAGATCTCGCTAGGTTTTCGTGCTCCCCTAGTTTGACTGCCCCTGTTCTACTAGTTTGACTTATGTATTTGACCTGACAATCATTGTAGGTAGGCTATTAGATAAACTGAATTGTTTTGTTTAATTGGCGCCACAGGATTCTTTAACCGGCAAACCTTGTTTCTAATTGAGTTTGTGGGTTTGAACGCCACTTCTTTTCCTGCGTTTTCAAGAATTCTGCATAAGGTTTCCGAGGTTCCTTCTTTGGATGGAAGCACTACTGATGATTTAGATTCCCTATTGTTGGTGTTGTCATTATCCTGTGCATGATTGACATGCTTTTCGTGATTATTATTATTATTATCACTATCACTACTATTATTATTTATTTCGTTTTACATTTTTCTACCTACTTGCTGATTAATTTATCAGGGTAATTATTAAGTTTCAAAGCTTCTGTTATATGCTTCACTTCCTGTCCTACATTTTCCTTGGTACTATTTAGTTTTTCTACCCTATTAATCAAACACTTCACCAATCCTATTTTTACTGACATAGGATGGGATGATCGGAAGTCCAAATATTTGTTTGAATGTGTGGGTTTCCTGTAAACACACTGGTATGTTTGACTTCCTATCTTCTTTCCTTTTTATGTTACAATCTAACATTGGAAGCTCCCCTTCCTGACTTTCAAATTCATAAGTGAATTGAACTGTCTCTACCTTCGAGTTGAATGTGTCATCTATATACCTCCACTATACTTTAGGGGTGGGGCTGAACTTCTCAGTTGCTAAGTATTTTCATCTATCCATGAATATATCTACCGCAATCGATGATATTGGTGACCCCATGGCAACTCCCTCAGTTTGTTCGTATATTTTCCCTTGGAATTTAAATACTGTGGAAGTTGGGCATAGCTACGCTCCAAGCACTGTGTCCTCTAGTGGTACTTTTGTTTTGATTTCAAGTTCTTCGTCAGAAATGAATTCGTTTCTGACTGCGTCTATAGCCGTATTTATCGATATACATGTATAAGAATAAACATTATGAAATTAAAATAAATACTATCATGTTTTGACAGACAATTATGTATATATGACAATTTGACATTAGTCACTACAAATATGTGGTGACTGTTTACACTTTTCGATTGGTACAAATAAGTGTTTACCGACCAGTGACCAACATCATCATCATCAAAGGAACTCACTTCAGTTTATGTAATTTTTGACTATATATTTTGATGGTTAGTAGAAAAATCCGAATAATTCTGCTGAGGAATATGTGGTTTACACAACGACAAGTTGTTGAAGAGAAAGGTCTTGTTTTGATTTTTTTTCTTTCTTAAACACGTTGCGATTATTTTAAATAATTTTAAATGGTTGTTGCAGTTGTAAAAGATTTTGAGCCTTTTCCGTTGGATAGATGTCAGCTTAACGACATATTGATCCCTATTGGTTGAGATTAAGATTTATGAATCGGTAGTATATTTTCGGTTAAACCACTATTAACTCTTTTCTAACATAATTCTACTTTGCTTAGGTAAAAGTAAATGAAGTGGGTTTTAAAAACTGTAGACGTTTGCGTTCCATCTTCCCTGAGAAGTGGTATAATATGGTGACTCGTATTGAGATTACTCGTAGAATGTGAGGTTAGCAGGAAAAATCAGTCAGTGAGGTTGTAAAGCTGCATCGATTGGGATGTTTGCGACACCTGTTAGTCTCTTTTCCCGTGGAGAAACCTTAGCTGACATAGAATTAGGTTTGGAAAATAGTTCACAGTGGTCAAATTAAAACCTGCCATCACCTTATGAAGTGTTTGACTGTTGGTTGGAGTCAGCCACACGTAGTGAAGTTTAAATTGCTTGACTGAAGTCGTCGTAATGTGGAGAATCAATCACTGAAGACTGTTAGCAACATGGTACATGGTACTCATTCACTCTTGATAAATTCCCAGATCGATTTCATTCTCCGTGTAATTTTACTTTCCTCCATTCACATTATAGTTCCTTTCAATATTAATTGCCTACCTTTGTGAGGTATATAGAGTGTGGAGAATTGCACTACTGTACCTCTCTGTTCAATGTTTTACGTTGAAAACTCAGTATTAGTTAACTACTCTGTATATATTCTGGATGTGAATATACACCTGTGCACATCAACATATTTATATATTTTGAATAAGGCACTTAGAAAACGAATTTCGCGGGATGATAGCATCATTTCGTAGTTGCTTTCCAACCGCTTTACAACTAACATGGTTAACAATAATAAATTAAAATAAAGCTCATGACAATTATTCAGTTAAATAAAAAACAAAAGTACATACTAATGACCAATCATATTTAGATGGGTCATGTTGTCCATGGTAGGCGAAGGTTGAAGTCTATTGTTGTTTTTTGTACACACAGTTTAGGCTGTATGTGATTAATCCCCAAAGAGTGCTTCCATCACCTTCAGTAACCAACCTTGAATTAGAGTTATGTGATGAAATAATTGTGAAGCAGTCACTAATTAATATTGATTTTGTGACCTGACTTTAATAAGTGCTTTACAATGGATGATGCTAGATTTCTAATCAGATTGAGTGCATTGGGATTTTCTATATGATTTAGTAGCTATTTTGGAACATGTTCTTTTCGACGACATTGAAACATTCTATTGGTTCTACCTATATAGGTGTCACCGCAACTACAGGTGAACTTGTAGATGCAGTTTGAAGTAGAGTTCACAGAATTTCATCTTTTAATGGTAGGCACTGATCGGAAATGTTGGAGACGTGAGGGAAATGACTGGTCATTGGTATGTAATTTTATAAGTCTCCAGACCGTAGGTGTTACGAACTTCCTGGAACAATTTGAGCGCCGAGTCAGATTGATTCATTATAAATTATTTAAATTAATCCCAGTGTGTTAAGAAAATCAAAACAAGATCTCTTTTCTGAACGTTTCGCTGTGTAAGCCATAGCTTCTTCAGCAGATTTAGTCGGATTTTTATTAATAAAAATTCGGTTGTGAAGAAACTACGAAATGATTCTATCATCTCACGAAATTTGTCTTCTAAATGCCTTATTCAAATTTATCAAAGGAACTAATTGTTTTAATGTTTATACTTTGTTTCCTTTTTTTCTTCATTTTATTTGTTTACCTTTTGTGTGTGTGTACGCCGCTGTGTGAATATCTCTCAGTATGAAAATTGTATTAAGAAATTCAATCGACAGAATAATACTGAACTGTTACAATATCTGGCTAGAGCATATTTTAAATCTGGTCAACTGAAAGAATGTAAAACTATGCTATTAAGGGTAGGTAATTAACTTATTTTTTTGCTTTCTTCTAAATAAGTGATTAATTCCCTTTTCAAATTATTTCATATATATATATTTTTTGTGCAATATCAAACTGAGCTAAAGTAATGAAAGTTACTCAGCTATTAAGAATCATAAAATATCAAAGGACAGAGTTATTGCCCCGACCGATAGGTGCTACCGTGACCTAATAAGCTACACGGGCTGAAACTAATTTTCATACTGGTCCTACTATACCATAAAGGTCGTTTGGATGGCGAGTAGTTAGATTAAATGCAGTCACCAGTGTAGAGTAAGTTGCTCACTCTATGTTGGGAGTCTATGGGTGAAGAGTGACGTAATAACCGGAAAGTATTTCCTTCAGATGGACCAGCTATGCTTCCTCTCTCCTTTGAAGATTTGGGAGGGGGGTTATAAACACCGACCCCAAAAACTGAACATCCTGACATACTTTGCGGTTGTCTGTAATTATCGGTAAGATTTAATACGGACGCGATTCCTAAACCAATTCAAACATGCTGTGTGTGACTGGCATTGTCTCCTGAACTCTACAGTCATGCAACACTAATCCTCCTGGTGTTGCAGATATTTCAAGAATTAGTCAGTTAGGCACTGTGACTTGAGGTTAACGTTTTGGTTCACTGGGCACAGTTTTAGTAGCGTTATCCACAAGTTCAGACGTCGTAGATTTCAGGGATTCTTCTCCATTGTAGGTTCGTTAGTCTTTGGGACGCGGATGTTAATCTCCTGTAGGGTTCCATAAACATGCAAATAATAATGATAACGGCGACAGAGAAAAACTTAGACGATTTGTGAGCGAACACGTGTGTACTTTATATCTTCGGCTTAAAGAAATTTACATTATGTGGAAAATTGTACAGAGGTTATTACGACGGACAGCAAATCATTGTTATAGCAAAAATATTCATTCAGATATCTATAAAACACAAAATAATTGAGCAAAGAATATCCTTTTCGATAATTTCCTCTTCGGCTTTACGATTATATATATGTTTATATACATAGAATATTCTAGAATATGAGTCAATAACAATAATAATGTCTTTAAATAATATCGATTTGTAAAGTATGATCAATGGAATTACAGTTCATTAAAGATGTTTAAATAATAATAATAATAATAATAATAATAATAATAAAGATATAGTAGTATTCTCTTTTACTCCCGAACGCAAGAGGAGAGTGGTTTCGAAGACACAGCGTAATTCGGCAGCAGGGAATGCTCTTTCTACTGCATTTCTAAGGCGCTGTGTTAGTATCTCGCTGATGTTGTCCCCAAGGAACTGCATTTATAAGAATAAGGCCTTTTTAGGAACTGTTGGTAACTTGGGCTGCCTTGATTTTGGATTCATATTCTTATCAATAAACTTTTTAGGATAACCATTTTCACTTAGCAACCGTTTAATATTATTAAGTTCCTCATCAAGATATTCATCTGAGCAAATTGCTCTTGTTCTGTGGCGGACCAAGCACTTTATCAGATTGCGTTTGTACTTCAAGGGCACGAAGCTGAAAAAAATGAGCATACTGACCCGTTGATGTAGGTTTTCCACATACACTTTTTCTTATTGTGCCATCCTCTTTTGTGGTCATAAGAACGTCTAGAAGTGAAATACTGGAGTCTTTTTCTTTCTCAGTAGTAAAATTTATTGCAGGATGAACATAGTTATATTTTTTCAGGACTTCCTTTGGCTTCATTCTCATGTTTCATAATCAAAAAAATGTATCATCCATGTACCGACAATAGAATTCAAGTTCATCTATAACATCTTTCAAAGGCCCATTTTCTAGTTTCGCAAGGAAAGATATCATTGTTAGCCATAAATTCACGATTGATAGAATCAGTCAGATAGATACTGATTACCTGTCTATGTTTTAAATCCCCGTGGAATATGTAGACGATATATATCCGGTATTTTAGAATAATATGGTTGTTGTCATTGTCGCAGTTGTCTGTAGGTCTACTCAGTGTGGAGGAGGGAATATTTTCCGAGTGATCAGTTGTATGGTGGCGTATTGTAGTCAGGATAGACAACAATCAACAAATCGCTAACACTCCGTTACAACAGAGGTTTGTTTCGAACAAGACGTAAACACCAAAGTTCTGATAGGGAGGATTGTCATTTTTGATTTTTGACAGAAAACAATCCACTAAATCATATTTCTGTTGTCTACAAGTTGTACAATTAGTTGTACAATCGATAACACACTATTATAAGTAATCAGACTATGGCATGATTGTCAAAGTCTACCTTAACTTCATCGATTTCGGAAAGGCCTTCGACAGACAGTGTTGACTGAGAAGTAATTTGGAAACTAATTCAACACTACGGCGTGCAGTTCCCAAGTCTTTATCAAATTCATTCAACAGCTGGCTATATGAAAATGCGATGCGTCAGGTGATCCACAACAGAAAGCTCCGCAAGGCGTTTGAAGTGAATACAATAGTAAGACAAGGCTGGCTGTCTATTATCACCAACGATGATATTCTTAATTGTGGTGGACTGACTGGATTATGCGTCAGACTGTGAGTTGGGAGGGAGGAGGCAGGAATACGCTAAACTACTGATAAGAAGACTTAAGAAGATCTGGATTTCGTGCATGGGTGATTTATGTTTAATGTCACACACACACACAAACTCGAAGACTTACATGCGAAAAGCAACAAACTAGCAGAACACGCTGGCAGGCAGCGAAGACAGGATTTCAGGCGGACATAGACAAGATGTAGGTGATGAAGATAACCAACCAACAGCAACACCATCATCAACAACAACAATCAACGGGAGGGATTTGAAAGACGTCACTTCCTCCATTTATATGGGAAGCACGGTTTCAACCACAGGCCTGCAGAACGGATGAAGATGTCAAAGCAGGCCAGAATCGGAAAGGCAAGATACGCCTTCATCAACTTGAAACCAGTTTGGAAGTCTTCTGCACTCCGCGGTATCAAGAGCAAGATTTGGATTGTCAACATCAAATGTGAAGTCGATTCTTGTATACGGGTCAGAAACTTGGCCAGCGTGTCACGAAAATGATTTCCAACAGATTGCAAACTTTTATCAACAGCCGCTGCCTTCGTTGGCCCCATACCGAAGATCAAATGGCCAGCCAGAAGGAATTAGCAACAAGAAACTCTGCTTGAAATAAGAGTGTGCTAACGTGTAAGGTGAATTATTTTTCATTTATTTCTGAATATTCAAATTGTCGTGATAATTTTTTTAAAAATTTTCTTGTTTGTTAGCTTGTTTTTTACTATGTATATATGTATATTCTGTTTAACAAAATTAGGCTCGTTTTGTTAAACCATGGGATCCTTTGCTCACATTCAATTTAGCCTTTGTTCAGAAAAGATTAGCAGTTTCAGTATTACAAGATGAAACGAGTAGTTTCTCATCAGTCTGTGAAGCGATAGCTGACTTAAATATGGCTAGATGGTAAGTAATGTGTTGAATTAGTTGAACATAAAGTCCATCCTTTGCCTTGTTTATTTTGTTCGCTGTTTTATTTACGTATCATATCGTTTGAACATTAGATGTTTTTGAAGGCCTTATTATATTAATAGAACACGAGCTTGATACATTGCGGGCACTAAGAGTTGCGCAACACTCATAGTTTTTGCAAAGGCATGGACGCCAAGAGTTGTCTTAAGAGGCCACCCCAGAGACTTTGACTTGAAGTTTAATCCATAAGGCGTTCTTTTAGTTGGTGGTGGTGATGACCAAAACACGTTCAAATGCCGTTTGGATCCGTTCGGATTCTGGAAACCATGTGTACACCATAGGGGTTTAGATTCAGGGTTTTGTCAACTTCCCTAGGTAGACCTCCATGTGTCTACCAATCTGGTTGTAAGCACTCGTAAGCAGACGTTCGCACTCATTCTCTACCACGTGAAGGCAATGAACAGGGCTTCCCTGTCAGAGGCTATGATCGCATAGGAAGACTAAAGTCTATCGACCCTTCGGCCTTACCAGGTAGTTTATCGGAAGTGTTCTGAATGTCTTCATTCGATGTGCATTCTATTTCTTTTGCCTAGGTAATCGGTAGGTATTCATACTGCGTATCCCATTTGTCTTCGTTGATAAGGACTGTCAAATTCGAGGTTGAAATTGTCAGTTGTCACTTATTTCCACACATAGATAATATTATGAAGACAGTGGGTAGCCGGATGTTGTAAGCTTATGTACACACCTTAACTATGTTTCTTAGACACATTGTGCCAAATGAACAAGACTACTGCAGAACACATTCTCGATTATTTATATTTGATCAGATATGGACTGAAACATTAGTCTCCTTTGTTGTGCAGAGGTCGTTCTGATAACGGCATTTTGTCTTTACCAATAGTCGAAGATACTGTATAGCTATTTTGACTGGGCACTAGGTGGTAACTGATGTCATGCTTTTAGTCCTGGGTAAATTGGTGCAGACTGAATTCTATCAGTCAAATTTGCAATGTGGTCACTATGCTAAATGGCTCACCATCACACGGTACACTCTAAATTATTGTTAGATGGTTGTAGGCAATCGGTAGTGAGCCTCAGATCCAGATTTCGTACTTCATGGCAATCACCAGTGATCAAGGTGTATCTGCAATCTTGAAAGGAATCACATCCTCCTCTCTGAGATTCGAACCTGGATTACCCAGTGTTGCAGTCAAAAACGTTGCCGCTGGGCTATTCGGCCTCGCAACTGTGACATCTTGTAGTGCTGTAATGGAGACTTTGATTAGATAGACACTAAGTGACAACTGATGTCATGCGTCCAGCCCCTTGGTGTCGGTGCATACTGAATTCTATCAGTCTAATTTGCAATGTGGCTACAGAGAGAGATAGAGACATGAGTTTCTTCAAATTGTAGATATGCCTAACTGACGAGGGTTTACAAGTACGAAAACTAGGTCCGAAGGCATCCCATTGATTGCTTCCAACCATCTATTTATTAATCCGTCTATCATCATTATTACTATTTTTTTGTTTGTTTGTTCTCTTTCACTTCAGTACATTTAATCACTTATCAAAATTGACTGAAGTTTTAAATCAAGCTATGGCCACTGAAGAAGCACGTATTTGTCAAGATCTATTAAGTCAAGCTAAATATCATCTTGACAGAGCTAAATCACGTGAAGAACAAGAACGTGTGGTTCGTAAACGTCAGGTGAGTTGGAGATACTGTCTACCAAAGTTTATTGTTCATTAGAATTATATGGATATGTATATATTGAAAATTTCACTTCACTAATATACCAGGCAATTCTGTTTCCACTTTAGGCATTACAGTCTCATTATTTTTTGCTTATAATCATAAATATCTTTAAGTTTTTTATTCACGAAGTCTTATTTTCCGGTCTTCCCGTATCATTTTAACTTCTAGAAACATACTTCCACTGAGTCTCTACATTTTACAGTTGTTGTTCTTTTAATTCTTGCATTCCACCTGTTCTTCTTTATTGCTCACACTTAATCTTTCCTAGGCTAAGTAAAAATAAGACTTTGTCCCATTGTGAAGGGTACTAAAAGCTGTTGGGAAGGTGAACAGTGTGTATCACTAAGTCAAATCGTTAATACTGTTGTGGTGGATAGGCATTTGATAAAATATGTGTATAACTTCGGGACTGTGGTAGTAAGTAATTGCCATTGAATCGGGTCCCAGTGGCTGAATGGTATACGAGCTTGCCTTGTAACCGGGAGGTCCTGAGTTCGAACCCCAGTAGGTGTGTACTGCCGATGCACCCCAAACTAGGACGGAGGAAACAGCTGTCCAGTACTCCAGTGATGGTTTTCAATGGTTCTCTAACTGTTATCAATCCGTGGTCAACTCGTAAAAAACAAAACTAACCCTTACAAATTAACTATAGGAAATTCCATATCAGTTTGTTTATTAGATATATCACACAGTGAAACAGTATTATTTACTGGATGACGAAGCTTCGAACACAATTTACTCTTCATAATCATATTGTCAATTATAATCACACGACTTTGAAACTTGAGTTCTACAGTTTTCTTTGTTCTCTCCTATTTGTCGTCGTAGGGGTAGTAGAATTTTCCAGATGTCCGGGTGGACAGGTGTTGAATCATTCCTATTACACGTGTTTGCAGTTGGTACAATTACACACAACCATAAAATAGGATGGGATGAAGTGACAATTTTAAAATCTGATGTAACAGGGTGGAGGGAGAGATTGATAAAAGAAACTTTGTTTATCGAATCAGCTGCAAACACGTGTGATAGGAATCATTCAACACCTGTCCCAGCCATGTGGAAAATTCTGCTTTCCCTACGACGAAAAATAGGAGGGAATTAAGAAAATTATGAAACGGAAGTTTCGAAGTCGTGTGATTATAATTGATGATATGATTATGAAGAATAAATTGTGTTCGAAACTGTGTCATCCAGTAAATAATACTGTTTCACTGTGAGGCATTTGATGAACGTATGGCAAAAATTGGCGAAAAAAAAACTGAATCTTTCCAATAGACTTCGTATTCGTTTTCTGCACACAGCTGAGGCGATAGGCATTCGAACTATTAAATCTTATTTATGCATTCAAAAGAAGTTCATAAAGCCATCATCCCTCCCTAGGCTTATTAAGACCTAACCAACTTCTGCACCACCCGTTGCTTACATTTTCAACCCTTCTCTTATCAACCATTGATCTTTCGTTAAAACATGGTTTATTTACTTCCCGTACAATCTAGCATTACGTAATCGGTTCATCTGATTTTCTTAGCCCTTATCGACTACTTCTACCTGGACATTTATTTGTCTATTTAATCATGCTGATTTTCGTTATTCGTGTTATCACAGATCGCCTGACTTTTTCATTATTATTATTATTGATAGAACCATTATTATCATTATTATTATTACTATTATTATTTGTATTATTATTATCACTGATTGCACAATTTATATTCACCAACTTATTATCCTATGGAGAAAACACCATGATTGGTTTATATTTCAATTTGTATTTGTAAAGTTATGTAGGCATATTAGAGTTAAGCCTGATGAGATCTAATTGAAAGCACAATATTGTTCGCTTAAATGTTTTGTCAGACTTTTAGTATTCTCTCTACACACCACTCTGTCTTTGCATCCCATCAGATAAGACTAGAAGGAAGTATAAAAGACTTTATGCTCATACGCCTAAATATAATAACTCAACACCATTGGCTGGAGACAATTGGTGATATGGCTCAAAATCCTCGTTGTCAATGGCGTAGATGCATCCACTATTTGTGACTTATAATTTACTGTCCCTATTTTGCATTTATTTTTACTTTCTTCTTTTCTGGCTTTGTGTGCTGAGTGAATTGTGGCAACTGGAACTGCTGCACATCGGTGCAATGTTCTATGTTGACATCAGACAGACAGATAGAAGTATTTTGTGTGATGACAAAAATTGTTAGGCATGATGCTAATAACTCATTACAAAACAATAAGTAGTAAATGGCCCTTTTTTATTCCTTCAATCAATAATAATAATGATAATAATAATCTTGTTTTCACTATTTCTAGTATAGCTTAATATTACATCCATATATTTTTACCGACATTATTATCTGTCAATGCAAGTGTCTTGTTAATTATTTCACCCTAACTCCCCTCCGCCGTCCTATGTAATGTTGAAGGGAAAATTAGATACAGTGTATTGTACCACACACACATGCTGAGAATTTCACATTCTATCAAAATTAATGTTTGAAATAAAGCTATTACTTTTATTGTCATCTTAATAAACTCTTCCCCTTCCTCCCACGATTTTGTCTACTTTTAGGAAGAGGAACGTGAAGCACAACGTAAACGTCAAATGGAATTACAACAACAAGCTGAACAAATGAGAATTGATCGTGAACGTCGATTAGAAGAAGAACGTGGACGTTTCTTAGAAAAAGCTAAACAAATAATTATTGAACCAGTCTCTGAGGTTTGTTATGCGTTATATTACTTTCACTGATGATAATTTTCTCTGGTGTTAAGTTAATTTGTTTCAAAATGATGGATAGTGGGTTCGAATCTCAGTGGTCAGGGTATCACTCTTTAGGGATGCAGATATTTGCTCAACTGATGAGTCTTAAATATGACGAGATGTGCATCATTGTTAACCATCGTCGGCTAAATTATGCATAACGTTATTTTCTGTGAAATATTGAGGATTTTGAAGGAATAGAGAAGATTTGTTGCCCAGCTGGGGGATGATTTTGATTTGGTTGCACTCTGTCTGAGCTGGGTGATTTGACTGCAAAGCTTTCATTATCAAATGAAATTCTTTGGAATTCTCCATGAATAATATAATCGTACCTTCTGATAACTTTGGTCATGATTAATTGTTAATTTGCATCAATATTGATCGTTTTTTATTGACCTGAGATTTAACTTTCCTTTTACGTCATATGGCTTTATGGCAAAGGTAAACTTTAAGCACCACCAACTACCAATCATCAGCGAATGACCTCGAACGCACCAATCACACGAAGGAGGCAATTTTGTGTATGGAATACATATATTTATGAAAAAAATGCATAAACACTGTATAAAAGTGGATACCTTGCCCTCACATGTGATAAAAATAGCTTTAAGTTTTAGGTTGGAGTATCAACAGAGTATAATTCCATTGTGGTTAAAAATTATTTTGATAAAGTCTCAGTGTTATGCAGCAATATTTATTGGGCAATAAACTGTGCTCGAAACGTGGTCATCAGTAGATATTATTGTATAACGCTGTGAGACTTAATAAGAATAAATTTTATCCACAATGGAATTATAGTCTACTACAGTGCACAAGTTCCATTCTTATATCAACAGAGCAATTTCACCACATTCAGTGCATGTAATTATTTATGTCCTGTAATCCTTACAATAACCCTAATCTTTCCTGAACCTAACCCTAACGAGAAAATATGTGTAAACTAACTGTAATTTAACTCGAACCAACCCTAATATCGCATTTATTAGGTTGACCTAATCCTAGCTTGTCCTTGGCAAGATATCCCATTTAATAGCAAAACACATCGATGAGCATATTTTATTGATTATATGCCAGGTTCCACTGACTTGCTCAGTGAGCGTTTCAAGGTCATTGATGCGGTCGCATTCCATTGGTAGTTAGTGATGCCTAAAGTTTAACTTAGCCGGCTTTATTCTTTGTTAGTTGATAATTTTGATCTATAATAATATGTCTGTTTGTAAATCATTGATTCTTTTGAGTACCAAGCTTTTATGGAATTCTCTGGTAATTTTGGTGTGTTTCCTTTCTCTGACTTTGATACATTTCCCCAGTCAAATTTGCTATCCATAGTTGGGTTACATGCATCAATATGAAAGGAAACACATTGTGTCTTTTGACAGCTAGTTTCTGCTCTTATATTCGGAGTCAAAGATGATAGTCACTTTGAGCAGCGATATAGTGCTTATCACAGTTCATGTAAAGAATTTTTGTGGATGGTATTGATCTTGTCTTCTTTAGCTGTTGGATCTGCACAGTGCTGAATAAAGTGATTGTGTCGGTTTGTGTATGTGTGTGTGGCATATATATTCCAGCTGTTATTTTAGAAATGTTATATACAATAGGATGAGTTTTTTACCAGTTCTGAGGGGATGGTTTCTTGTTGGTAGTTTGATTTTAGTGTAGTTATTTTTTTTTCGATGAAACTGTGAGGATATCCATTTTTCTTGTAGATATTTCTCTTCTCCTCAGGATTTGGAGAGTGATGCACTGTCTTTTAGCTTTTCTGTACAATGTTTGTTTTGTGTTCTGTCGGCCTATTATTACTATTATTGTTATTGTTATTAACAACCAATCATGACAGATGTCGTCAGTAGTTACAGTGATATCATTTATGAAGAATTCAAACAAATCCACTTCATTGTGAAGATTGCACTGAAGATGCTGTCTAGAAAGACAATGAAAGCTTCTCAATTAAAATCACCCAGCTCAGAGAATGCAACCAACCATCAAAATATTGTTGGTCTGTAGATATTTGTATTACGTCGTCTCTGAATAAATGTTGAGTCATATAAAAGAAAAGAAGGCGTTCAGCGAAGAGACTCTTTTCGGCGAATTCATTCACTGAGCTGTACAATCGCATATATATATATATACAATTTTGTTTGTGTGTGTGTACATTAGATTTATAAAGTTTAGATAATTATGTAATATAAGTATTATTTGGCTTGGAGACAAACGTTAAGATAGAAAATAAAATAGAATTGATTAAGTGAATTGGATGACGTAATACAGTTGAGTAGAATTCAGAGTAGGTCAGGTTGGCAACAGTGTTAATGAGTGGTGGTTAAAATTAAATAAGGGTGGGGGTAGAGAATAATACAGTTGAAAATAAGTAAGTTAATCGGATGACGTAACATAGTTGACTAGAAATTGGACGTGGGTCAAGTTAGCAACATTGTTAATGAGGGTAGAGATTACAAAAGGGTGGGGTAGAGAATAATATAAATGAAGATGTGAAATAATAAAATGCAAAAGACAAAATAATACAATTAGTAAGACTGAAATTAAGAAAGATTACGTCCATTGTAGATTTAATGAATGAACGAATTTCTTTTGTATGCAGAGTTCAGGATTTAGCAGATGAATTGCCATTGCTTCTGCGATGTGGAGAAGTTTGATCCGTACACTTTTAGCAAGATTGCCTTGTATTCTGTAGATAACTTTGAAGTTTATTTCTGGTTTGACTTGGTGTCCAGAGTCGATCAAATGTTCAAGGATCGAGCTGCGGGGGCATCGGTTTTCTCCTTTATAAAACCATGAAGGTAAATGTTCGTTGACGCGTTTGGATAGCGAACGCTGAGTACGGCCGATATACCTGGCTCCACACGAGCAGGTGAATTGGTAGATGCACATAGATGAGGCCAACAGCGGTAGCTTATCCTTCACGTTCATACGAATCATTGGTCTCGTGGAGAACGTCAGTCGTAATTCAGCTGCAAAGAAGGTTTTCTTCAATGAGCGGGAGAGCCGATTTCTCAGTATTTCTGTAGATTGGTCTCCATTGAACTGTAGGTTCATATAGAGTCTTTTTGGAGCATTGGGTGTGGGTGGCTTCTCTGGTCTGGGTTTCATTGATTTTGTGATAAATCTTTCTGGATAGCGATTTTCAAGGAGGATTTTCTTAAGAGTGTTCATTTCATCTTCTATGGCGTCCAGGCTGCAAATTCTACGTGTTTGTCACTAGTACAACATATATTACCCTGGAGTTCTTCCAAGTAGTACTTTATATTTTTATCAGTAGAACTAGCATAAAAATAGTATATCCTAAAGAACAGACAGTATTTCTATAAAGGAAGATTCTTAGTCTACATTAGCTTTTTGGTACTGATCCAGTTTATTTAAAGTAAAATAGAAGAAGACATTGCGAAGTGGTCGCGCTATGTCATGAATTGGCAGAAGTTAGAATTCATGGGCTGGCCACTGGATCGGGTTCCAGTAGTTTAATGGTCTACGAGCTCGCTAGCCTTGTAACCAGAAGGTCCTGGGTTTGAACTCCTTTAGGGTGTACTGATGAAGACTCCCAAACTAGGACGGAATAAGCGGCTGCCTATTACTCCCAGGTTTTCCAATGTTTCTCTAAATGATATCAGCTCATGATGAAATCCTTCGACCAATCAAACAAATTAATCCCTACAAAGCCAATACTTAAAACAGAACTGGTAATCAGTCTCATTTCATACCAGACAAATAGCTGTTAGTGATTTGAGACTATACAAAATAGTCTTGATTTGCTAGACCGTTATTGGATGTGTAGCGAGTAATGATTGTGAAGGAGAAATGAAGTTTGAAAACCGATAGTTGAAGTCCTCAGTGACCCACATTTTCACCTCACCCTCAGTCATCACCTACTACATAAATAATTAATAATTTGAAGGTCTGAAATGCGTCTAGCCTCACAAAGTGGTTGTGTTCTACGGACGTGTCCAACCGACAGCTGCTATCTTGATGTCATGTTAGGGCTTGAGCATCCAAATGATCCAGTTAGCTGTACGGGCACTAATGTTCCTACACGTCCTACCGCAACTGAAAAGTCGTTTCCTTATCGGTTAGACTGAAAGCAATTGCCATCATAGTGTAAGCCCTTTACACTTTGTGAGATGGTGGTTGGGGATGGCTGTGGGCAAAGTCGTAGTGCTGGCTGATTGGGATGTAAAAGTAGTAAGGTGTTTCCCTCGGACGACTAGTCAGCCGGGGGGGGGGGGAATTAGAAATATTGACCCGAAAGACTGGCGGTAAGATCCTAACATAGACGCAACTTCAAAAACCGACTCGAACAGGCTGTATGTGACCGACTGTAAACTCTGTGGTTTCTCATACAGGAAACTTCCACAGCGTAGGCAACCGGTGAAATAATAAGCAATCTCAAGCTCCCGCAAACACACAAAGCTTGTCAGCCAGTTTACAGGCTTTCCTTATATATTCGAAGTTGAAGTAAATGCCTATCTCATGGCAATATTTGAACGGCTAACTTCGAATCTTCCTGTAATTCACTTACATTAGTGTCATCCCTTGAATACAAAAAGTGAATATTGAACTGTGTAAATTTCAAAATTATTTTAGCTTTTTTGTACTTTTCACATAGTGTTGCGTTTGTTTGTGTTTTTCCCTTTCATTGTAGGAAAAGAAATCACGTCGTTCTGGTGGTGGCAGTCGAAAACGTGATGATTTCATTGCTTCTGGAGATGAAGATAGTAGTAGTGATAGTTCCGATGGACATCCTGATAATAATAATAATGATGGTAATGACAATTCAGAGAATGTTGAAGGTAGTCAAGTCAAACAGAAAAAAGCTCATAAACGTCATAGTCTCGAGTCAAAAGGTGGTGGTGGATCATCGCGTAAACGATCACGACTGCTGAATTCCCGTGATGGTGGATTATCCGCTAAACAGAGAATGAAAGTTGTCAGTAAGGCTATTATATCAGATTCCAGTGATACTTCGAGTAGTGATGATGATGATGAAGAAGCACATCAAGCGCGTGCTGCTGCTTTAGCTCGTAAAATCCTGTCATCTGATGAAGGCGAATCAGACAGTAATGATAATAATAATAATGCTGCTGATGATGATGATAATGAAAATCAGTCACCTATCAGTGGACAAGAATCTATCGATTCTTCACCTTCTGACTTATCTGACAGTCCAAGACGTCATAAGGAACATCGAACAAAGCCTAGACGTGTTTAAAATTACTCCAGACATACACGCACACACATACACGCTTATTTATTTATGTACATACATACATATATATATATATATCAACTAAACTACGAGTTTAATTACTGTGTTTCTTTACTGGTTGCTAAATATTAAAATACATTTTGAGTTGTGTTTTTCTTTTTTATAAATTTAAATGTTAGTTTTCATTATTGAACAGTTAAGCTTTGAAAATTGAATTACGCCTCTATCAGATTTCTAAGCTACATTTGTTTGTCTACGAAATTTAATCCCAACTTCTTTCGAATTCCCTGGGAAGTGTTCCCTAGATGGGGTGTATCGTTATCTGACTAGGCTCATTTCCTATCTTTAACTTTTAGATAACCAGACTACCGAGGCCGTTAATCTCTATCCAGCTGGTGAAGAATAGAAGGGTCTTGTTTTTATATCTGTAGCTTTTCCTTGATTCGTGTTCGGCTTCAACTAGTTCATTGACTTTCTTCAAAACAAAACAAAAAAAATGCATACTTCTTAAGGTCCTAAACAGGACTGACTATCGACCAAAGGGCGTGTGTACTGCTCATCAGTCCGCTCCATCCTCCTTTATGGCCAGCTGTGAGACCTGGCCATTGAGAATGGAAGACATGAAAAGATTAACTGTCTTTGATCATAGGTGTCTGCGTTCTATCTCCCGTGTGAAGTGGTATAATAAGGTGAGCAATATTGAGGTTAAGCGTCGAGTGCTAGGTAAGGCGGGGAAATCAATCGATGAGACTGTGAAATTACATCGACTGAGATGGTTAGGACATGTGTTACGTATGTCTAGTCAGTGCCTTCCTCGACGACGGGCAATGTTAGCTGATATAGGGTCAGGCTGGAAAAGAGCTAGCGGCGGTCAAACGAAAACATGGCACCAGTCAATCAAATCTACAACAGTTAGTCTAAGCCACGTAGGAAGGTGCAGACTTCCTGACTGGTTGGGGCCCTCGGGACGATAAAAATTAATGGTTGGAAACAATAGGTGACGTGGCTCAAAATCGTTCTCAATAGCTGGCGCAGATGCATCCACTCCTTGTGACTTATGATTTCCAATGAAACTGTTTTGTTCTTCGTTATTACTATTCCTTTGTCTCACACCCCTGTTTACTGTCTATATTATTATGCATTTCTCCTACTTTCTTCTCTTTCTTTGTGTGCTGCATGAAGGGAGTGTGGCGACTTGAACTTCCGCACATATGTGCAAAGTTCTATGTCTAAAACAGACAGACAGACGTAGGAGGGGATTAAAACTAAAAAAAAAAAACAGATTGTTTTTACTGGTTTCATATTTGAAGTAGATAGAAAGTCAAATAATTACCCAATAGTAGTACAAGTAAATATGTGTGTACAAGCTGTTTCACTCCTTTTTCTTCATGTGTACTGAAGCTGACTATACAAATTCTTTAAAAGTGGAAAGTTTGTAATATAAACTAGTCAAGCGGGTACTAAAGTGGTTCGGAATTGATAATCTTATCTGAATTCCCATTAATTTCGATAGTAGGGAATTTATTTAGGCTAGTGTTCATGCATACCTGTCTTCGGATCACACTTATCTACTCATTTTGTTGCTTATTCTGATCACTGCTTTATATAATAATAATAATAATAATAATAATAATCTACTTTATTCCAAAAACAGTACTTGTAATATGGAATGGAATTCTCAGCATTTGTCACAATATCTTGCATCTGATTTACTCAAAATATAAATAAAAATTAAAACAAAATTAACCGGAGGAATTTGTCCACATTTACTAAGTAAAGTTAAAAATATTCGAAGTAGGAATTGAGAATATTAAATATTATAATAATAATAATAACAGTGAGTTTGTTTCAAACAGTATTACCGATTCATTCTGGAAATTTTAGCATGTCATAGATTATTGGATCTAATGTTCTGTTGATATAGTATGGTGAGGGTAAAGACAAAATTAACACTTATAACACAGTTTAAATGATGTTCACACTTATGAAAAAAATAAACAAAAAATTGAGAGGATTATGAGTATAAGAAATACAATAACAGTAAAGTTTGATGTTGTAAGGGTGGAGGAAATGGTTTATTTACTGGGGCAAAGAAGGTTAGTTAGTTCATGTCTGACACTATTTTCATCACATAAAGTACGTGTCAAATATGGTATAGTGGAATTTTTATTCTTAGAGGTACGTGCATAAATTCTTCTGAAAAGACTTCTTGTTTTACCTGAGGAGACACAAGGTTGGAGCTGCGGGTAGAGTGGGTGCTCACAGTCTGACAAGATTCCTTTAGAAAATTTTTTGCATGACATCAAGTGTCTGTCAGTGACAATGTCAACGATATGGCCCAATGCGATACCACTCGCCCTACTGACAGTCAGTCTTCAGAGTTCTACGAAGTATGACATAGTCTTTTTTAAGCAACCCGGGAAAGAATGAGAGTGAACAGTAAATAAGAATAGGTAAAATACACTAGTTGACAAACTGTAAGAGGAGTGGTTGAGTTATACCTTAGTGCCTTAACTTCCTAATGTAAAAAGTCAGACGAAATATTCTTTTAGAAATCGCCAAGACATGGGAAGACCAGGAAAAGTTAGTAGAAAGAATTAATCCAAGATACTTAACGTCAGACTGGGTTTCTATATCAGTATCATCAATTTTGCAAAGGCCATAAGAACCAACGGCTTCATTTAACTTTCTTTCACATCGGAAACTGAAATTAACAGTCTGACATTTGGAAGGATTTGGTTTAAGACCGTTATACGAAGGCCATTTGCTAATTCCTGATAGAAAGCTGTTGATCTTAGTACAGGCACTGAAATAGTTAGATCGTCCGCATACTTGACAAAGTTCATTTCTTCAGAGTGAGGCAAGTCATGCAAGAAGAAAGAAAAGAGAAAAGGATAAAGGAGAGCGCTTTGACGGACACCAGCCTCAATAAGCCATGAAGTGGACGACTTTCCTTGATATACAGTGTACTGCTTTCTTCCTGAGAAATAAGAAGACAGCCAGTTGATAACTCAACACTCATTTTGAGTTTCAGCAAGCTTGTTTAACAAAATATCCCTAGGCACTAAGTCGAAAGCAGATGTGTAATCTACGAAGGTGCAGCGAACAAATTTTACTCCTTTGTGTAAACTGGAGACAATTTTTTATGAGGCAATACTGCAGTGGCATCTGATAATCCTTATGTTGTTCCATAGACTAGCTCGGAAACGCAGCGGCCAATATCTTTCTTTAGAGTAGATCGTATACCAAGTAGTACCAGTGGAAGTTTGGTTGACCAGTCGTTTTGAGTCAAAGAAGCAGCGAGCGCAGCTTTGAGTTGTCGATGAAGTCGTTCAACCATACCGTTGGAACTAGGATGGTATGCGGTCGTTCGTATACGTTTAATGCCCAGTAAGCTGGTGAAAAAGTCGGCTTTCAAACTGAGCACCTCTGTCTGTAGTGATAATGGGTGGGACACCAAAGTTAGCTATCCAGTTTTCGACTAAAGCTTTAGCTACCGTTTCAGCGGAGACGTTGGCTAATGGAACTGCTAATGGCCAATTAAGTGAATCTATCGATGTAAGTTAGAATGTAGTTGAAACCACTGGAAGGAGGCAGTGGACCAACTATGTCTACATGTATATGGTCAAATCTAGAGTCGGGGTTAGGAAAGCGACCAAGTGGTGCATTGGTGTGATGGTTGATTTTGACTCTTTGACAGGACAAGAAATTTCGCGTCCACTTCTTAACATCGCTGTTAATGTTCGGCCATGTAAATCTTTCTCCTAGTAGTTTGATAGTAGCGCTGACACCGGGATGCGACAATTTATTTAACTTCTCGAATATTGTGTGTCTCATAGCTGCTGGAACGAAGGGTCGATATTTACCCGTAGAGATGTCGCAGATTATTTTTGTCATGCCAACAGGAATTGCGTCGAGTTTTAAAGATGTTGTTTTAGAAGACATGATCTTCTTTAGTTTGGCGTCATCTCGTTGTAAGTTTGAGAGATGTTCATAGTCGATGTCTGGGCATACGATGTCGTCAATGTGCATACATGATAAAGCGTCTGCCACTTCACTGCTTTTGCCCTTTACATGTCGCAGATCGGAGGTGGACTGGGATCTAAACTCGAGATGTAGTAGTTCGCGGGGAGAGTAGTTATCCTATTTGCTGATAAGGCTTTTATTGGAGCTTTAGAAAGACGCTTTGGCCAGTTTCAAGGTTATGATGGGTTCCTGCGTCCACTGCTTATATGTTTTCGTGAATTCGTTTTCCGTTGAAATGTAAAGGTTTCTTTGGATGTTTTGTTTATTTTATTCATAACGTGGTAAAATTCTTTCGTAAAACGTCAGTTAATTCACTGATAATAATGTTTTTAGCAAAATTAAGTACCGGTGACCCACAACAGCAGTAAGTGTCCAGTTAAACGTACAAAGAAGTGTTGTTACAACAACAGGTAATTTCGAGTCCATAGGCAGCTAGGAACCATAGTAATGGCAAACTAATCTATACAAAATGACGGCGAAGTTGAAGTACTTCAACTCTTTATAACTGCTCGGTTTGCTAGGACCACCGTATATACCTATCAGGAATACACTACTGAGGAGTGGTCCCGTAATTCCACCTAAAAGGGCCATAGCTGCTGGTTGGATGGACATTCCGTCGACATTCAACTGCAGATCAATCTTGTTGTAGGGACTTTCAACCACAGACATCTCCATGTAGTGCTGCAAACATTTTTGGAGACCAATGTGGCAATACATTCCGTCTCCAAGTAGTCTTGACTAACAAGAGTCACATATTCTCAAGACACTTCTAACAGTTGTTGGTAGTTGAGGCAATCTCGCATGGAATATCTCTAAGATTCTGTTAGCGTCTGCTTGTAATATGTTCGTGGTCACCGTGATATTGAGTATCATATTTTTCATTTCATAACGTTCAGAAGAGACTTGTGGGCACATTTGTGAAGTACTAGCAGCTGGTGTTAGGTTGCTGCAAGGTGGCGATGGCACTACCTCGGTTTCAATGGTAATGGTATCAGTGTTCACTGAAGACGACTGGACTTCAGCAGGAAGGACAGCATGTGTGACAGCCTCCGTTGACGTCGAGGCAGACGAGATCTCGGCCAGTACCTGCTAACAGTTACGTTTATACCTTGTGTAAAATGTGGTGTAATGGCGGGTCAATCGGTTACGCTGACGTAATCTTTTTAGGC